TGACAATTTCATCACAACAAAAAATTTGAGACCTACACATTTGGAATTATGGCAGAAGGTGGCAGACCAAATCAAGAATGTACGTCACAAAACTGCATTGGTCAAGTGCAGAGCACATACTCGAGCCAGAGACTTCGTGGCAAAGGGCAATGAGTTTGCTGATAGAGTTGCTAAAATGACAGCTGGGTATGACAGGATAGGTACGGCTCTGCAGGCAGTTATTGAAGACAATCCTGAGGGAACAGAGGCACCAGTGGAAGAAAGAGAAGAGAACAGTCCACACATATTGCAAGAAAATCCCTCACTGTATGATGTGACAGCATGGAAAACTGCAGGGGCCATTAAAAACAGTGAAGGAGTATTCTATGATACATTTGGTAAACCGTGCGTGACTACTAAAAAACTACTACAGATCATTCAAAGTAAGCATGAGGAAACACACATAAAGTGCTCAAAACTTTTTTCAGAACTAAGACGGCACATGTTCCATCCTTTTATGCTACCAACCATCCAGCATCTATGTGACTCATGTGACATATGTCAAGGGCTCTCTAAGGCAAGGGCTGTGAAGGCAGGCATAGGAGCATACCCAGTGCCTCCATGGCCCATGGCAGAAATCGTAATTGATTTCATCGACATGACTGCTGATAAGAAAGCGGATGGGTGTAGATACGTGCTCACAATGATTGACCCACTCACACGATGGCCTGAAGCTTTTCCTTTGGCAAAAGCAAATGCAGAATCAGTAGCCAAAGTATTCTTGACAGAGATCTTTCCAAGGTACGGCCCAGCGAGAGTTATCAGATCCGATAACGGCTCGCATTTTAAGAACCAGACAATGGCTCAACTATGTGAGAGGCTGAATATAAAACAGCATTTTGGAGCAGTGTTACACCCGCAATCACAAGGGGTGATTGAAAGGTTCAACCAGACACTGAAAAACAGATTGGCACACATGTGTAGGTCTGGAAAAATGAATTGGAAACAGGCACTGCCTATAGCCTTGATGGCAATAAGAGGAGAACCAAGCAGGCCAATTTTTATGTCACCATTCCAACTGATGTATGGGAGACACATGCCCAGTAACTTATCTCGTTCACTGGAGCTCCCACCTCCAGCAGCCACTGATGATGCTAGGGAAACTTATATGAAAACATTGGTCACTACAGTGAAGTTTCTGCAAGATAACATTGTCACGCTGACCCAGAAATCTCCAGAGCCCCCTTTGCAGGCTGTAAAAGACAAACTTACAGTTGGAGGCTACATTTATGTGAAAAACCAGAAACATTGTTGGGATCAGCTAACTTGGAAAGGCCCATTTAAAATCTCCAAACTATACGAGTATACTTTGAAATATTACTTAGACGACTCACAAACTACAGAATCATCATTTGTGCACATATCACACACTAGGCCCACTAGTGCACCAGAAAGATCCCTGTTTGATGTAATGAGAGATATCACTACGTCATCAGAAAAGGAGGCCGACAGGGGGACAGAGAGGGAAGTGTCTGACTCTATTAGTTAGAACATGGGGAGTTCTAGGGAGGGCGGAGCAACCCTATAATGCACCTATAGAGTCCCTCCAGATAGCCCTGTGATGCAAGTGTCTGATGGCATAGGGACTAGTGATGACAATAGTATGAGAGACCTTCTGGAACTGTTGGGAGTTGAGGATTTTGGACTTTGGGGCTCTGGACTTCCAGACTTTGGAGATTGGGATGTTGAGGTTCTGGCCCCTGAGGTTCAGGAGTCTGGATATCAGGATTTTGACATTGGAGATGGTGGAGGACAGGGTTTTGGGGTCCTGGACATTGGAGATTGGGTTGTTGAAGGTCAGGGCGATGAGGTTCAGGATGTTGAATATCAGGATATTGCCATTTTAGATTTTGGGATTCAGGGGTTTGAAATTATGGTCAATGGACTTCAGGTTATTGAAGAATTTGGCAATTTCTCTGACTTTATGGATTGGGCTGATCAAGGGGACTGTGCATTTAACTGACGTGGTTTGGATCCGACATAAGTGATAATGGTGGGGGTGACAAATTGGCCTATAAGGGATGTTTAATTTATCACAGGATTGTGATAAAACAGGGGGAAGATTGATTATTGATTATTATCGTTTTTTTTATATTGATTGATTATTAATATTATTTTTATAATTATTGATTGATTATATAAAAAAAAAAAATAAAAAAAAAATATTCATGATCCAGAATCAACTATTTAGATGAGCAATTGAGCAAATCAAAGCTGAAAACACTAATCTGGTATGCATGGGATAGACTTTAAGACTGAGGTGTTCACCATGCAGGTACTCTCAACATGATAGGACCATGGACACTCTTAGGGTTGAGGACACGAGAGTGGGTGAGTATGGTGGTAGGTATAGGGATTATAGCTGGATTTTTATGTGGGCCTGGGAAACAGAGTTAGGCCAGGGGTATGCAAAACCAACAACTGTCTATGGTAAGGAGAAAACTCTTGGTGTCAATTCCTCAATTTCTGATTATTCAGACATTTTACCCGGCAAACAGATGAAAGAACGCAAAGTTCAACCTACAAAGGTGACAGGGATAAAAATAAGACCAAAAAGGGAATTGGATAAACTGGGAGCATGTGCAAAAAAGCGACAATACCTATTTGGGGTGCAATTGTGTTTGGCAAAGGGAGAACATATGGCATTCCAGGTACCTTTTATAGCATTAGTAAACAAAGGGAAAAAAGTGGGAGCAGAAAATTCAGATTATGAATGGTACATGACAAATGACATGAGAGATAAATCATGGGGGACAATGGTGGCATATACTGGATTAGATTGGACACCAACACCAACTACAGAGTTTGCAAGACACCATTCTAAAATAATTTCCATGACAAAGGGGATTATGCAGGGAAGTGTACCATGTCTTACAATTACAGTGGACTTGAGAGGTGAGTCATTGGACCCAAGAGACAGATCAGGGAAGAAACCTCTATGGTTTTGTTGGGGATTTCTGGTAGTATTCCGTGCATACGATCCTTATGTAACAGAGTGATAACAGCCGCTGTGGAAGGGAAGGTGGCAGAAAGACAACTGCTACTAACCCAGGACCTACAGTGGGAACCAGAAGAATTGATGACCATAGCCTAAGCCATAAAGGACAATCATCAGAAGAACGGGTGAGTATGGCCTGTGATATTGTCAGAATATCACCAGAGGAGTTGTGAGTATGCTTTATGATATTATCAAAATATTTTAATCAAAAATGTATAACTGCTTGCATGTAAATAACGCACATAACCTTGCAAAATTGTAAGAGGGACTTGGGAAAATCGGGGATGCGATAAAAAATTATAAAAATTAAAAATTAAAATAAAAAATTACATAATTCAAATTGATGCACGACACAAACATATTCTTTCTCCACAGCTCTTGCAACTATTGTTTTTGTTACACAGACTAGACACCGCAGCACACCCACATATAGATTGTTTTATAGGATCACTTCAATGTATGTAGTTTAGGGTGAGTTGGATGCTCAGTCCGCCCAGAGGCCTTTGGGGCGGGTCTGAAGTAAGGGCTGAGTGGAAGACCACCACATTTTTCATAATGTCACATGGGGTGGTTTAGGAGTTCACAGATCGTCGTGAAGACTGGGATTAGACTGAGTATAGGATGTAATGCTGGATCAACTGATGAAGATGGGCCATCTGAGACGAGAGTGATGGATGTCCGAAGAGTTCCTCTCCGGCCAACAGGGGGACTGTTGGAATATTAACTCCTGCACCAGTTAAAACTAAAATCAGTTTAGTATTGTTTCTGTTGCCAAATTAGCACTTGTTTGTGTAAATCTCAAAGAGCAGTGAGTTCAAGGTTAGTCTGTATGAAAAGTGAGAAAAACAACTGTTGTTATCAGAGCAGGTGCAGGCTTTGGCAGCTGGCCAGAAGGAGTCATAGAGTCCACGAATCTGTGATGTCAGTGACCTTGGATGTACAGTATAAAAGATGTACAGGAGGAGGCACGGGAACTTTTTGCTTTTTCTTCTGACAAGGAGCAGTGAGACGTCCCCGGGGGCCACTCCTTTTCTGAGCGCGAAGCGAGACTTGTGTTCGCGGACCGTTATCTTGTAATAATGCTTGCAAAATCTTCAATATAACCTTTTGAAATCAGGTTTGGTATCTGTCATTTCTATTACTGTTTTAACATTGGTTTTTGTCTCTTGTTGAACTAAAAGGACCTGCAGAACGAAGGGCTGTGTTTGCGGCCTCTCTGCAGCTTCTGGGGCTGGGGAATTCTGACAAATTACTGCAAGATCCTTTTTTTTAAACACAGAGTTGAAACAAACTGATTACTTTCTTATAGTAAACCCATTTATTAATTATGTGATACCAGACCATCATCCTATGACATATCATATCAGAGGCTGATCTGGTCTTTTAAAATAATTATTTTTTTGAGTTAAAACCTTTTAAAGTCCAGATACTATAGTTGAGGCTTTACAGTGAAGTTTGTTTGAGAAAGAATACCAGTGAATTTCTTATCTCCCGATAGACTGAATTTCCTGTATGGTGTTTACTTGGTGCTGCCTCAGTTTACTGAAATTCATCTAATGTATGGACACACTGTGGTCAGCTGGGCCTTCCTGAGATCTGTGCTCAGCCTAAATGGTATGTGATGGACGTTATCACATAGATGATAATAAAACATGTTCCGAACCACTTTGTGGAGTGAGTCAATCTTACCAGAAGCACTCACACTCTTCCTGCGCGTGTTCTCACGATGACTTTTGCTGCAAATGGATTTAGTGTCATTTATCCTTTTCTACACAGAGAGTTAAGTTCGTATATAAATGGACAATTACTGTTTCTCGGTCTGCTCTCTACATCTCATCCAGTCTTGGACACATTTTATGTAAGTACCTGCTTCCTATATGAATATTTGCAACTTGTATGCAGTGTATACTGACATGCTTTCTTTCCTCAGATAATATTAAGTTCTAATTGTCTCTAAGAAACCATGACTTCAAGGGTTCCAAGGATTTTTGTTGTTTTTTTGGTATTCGTTAAACATGGGGCTGGAGACAAATATTGTAAGTTCCATTTATGATTTCAACGAGAACTAAAACTTCAAATGGAAAAATAGAGACAAATTCAATGGCTAAATGTTGTGTTATTCCCAAAACAGGCACTCGACAATGTGCTCCACAGAATACACTGCTCACCAATATCAGCCAGGAGGTCCAACTTACATGGGACCTCCACCACTCCTGTTTGACTCAGAAGAACCTCGTCTTTGAGCTTGTTGTGCTGATCCAAGGAAAACAAGTGCACAATGTAAGGACCACAACGAGCAAAAGGAAGCCATACCCAATGTTTAAATATGTTATATGTTTGTTAAATGTATAGGAAGAGGTTGAAGTGGCTGAACATGTGGGGTCGAGTCACTTGTGGAGATGGACGTCCTTCTTACCCCTTGAGTGTGCATCACATTCCATCAAGATTAGGTCCAGGTGTAATAATCATCCCGGTGTGTGGATACTGGAGACTCTGCCAGGTAACACGATACTTTGCAGGAGTAGTGTCATTAAGTGGATTTTCTTTTTGTACTTGGTTTTATTTTGACTTCAGTTCTGTGGTTTTGTTTTAGTTTGACTTCCTGTTCCCCTGTATTGATTGTCTTTTTTGTTTCACCTGTGTCTGTATTTGTACCTGTGCTCCTCTCCCCTTGTAGCTGGTCCATTGTCTTTGTTTTTTGTCAATGTTCCTGGTTCCTGTGTTTCCTTTGGATTTTTTTGTTTGTTTGTTTTTACCTTGTACTTATTTTTCATCATTAAATCCTTATTATTTTATCTTTCACTTCACCATGTGACAAGTGATACTATTATCTTTCTGAAGAAAATGACAAACGATGCAGGGTTCAGGGATTGTCTCTCAAAAGAATGTTTTATTGTTGTTACACTGCATATGCAACACATGTTTCACAAAATTGTGAAAATTGCAAATTACTTTAAATGTAAATGTGACGCAACCGTTAAAAAATAGTTGAAAAGCCAGGTGAAAAGTGTGTGTGAAAAGGTCAAGTCAAACGTTTTACTAGAAGAGAGCTGTCTTATCAAGCTCCTCTTTTGTATTTACATTAATGATTTTTACATTTATTTAATTGTGTATTTGTAGATTTTAAATGTGTGCATGTATGTCCTAAAAGGCTCCTATGGTCAAGTGTTGAAAAGTAGCATGGACTGCTCTAACACACTGGCCAAATTACGTTTGCTTTGACCTTCAGTTAATCATCACATCAAGTGGAAAATCCCTGACTTCTGCATAACCCAGCTCTAAAATAATTGCATAAAAGTCGATCTATTCTACCAAAACTGCTGCTTTGGCTTCCAATGTTTGCTATGGACCTCTTCAACTCTGTTTGATCCGTTGACATTTGTGTCGCTCCCCCAGGTCTGGAGCACACATGTGCCACGGCTGAGGTACAGGTGTTTCCTCAAGACCATGTTTTTAAGGTTGGAAGCAGAGCAACTTTCTTCTGCATTATTCCTACGGCAGACAGTGACAGTGAAATGTCTCTGAGTAACTACAATGATGCCCCTTACAACACCTCCATGCTCAACCATCACTTGTACGCGCTGACCGTGGACCTGCTGTGGCCGACGCTCACCTCTGATGCTGATATCAAATGTAAAACCAGCATGACTGAGACTGGGGCATGTGCTATTGTTGGTTGTGAGTATGATTTTAAAAAATATATTTGAACAAGATTTCTGTTTTATTAATGTGTGGTTATTGTTATATATTGAAGACCAACCCTCTGACAGTAACCTCACTTGTGAAACTCGAGACTTTTTATCAGCTGAATGCTTTTGGACAGTGGGCCCCCAGATCTTCTCAAATCCTACAAACTACTGGCTGCTGGAACAGTTATGTATTAAAGTTTCTCTCTGTATTTCTCTCTCTTAAATGATTCACTCAACATAATGTGGATATCTACTTTTTAGATCGTGCAGTGGTCAGATAAAAGGCAAATGTTCACTGAAAGTTGAAGTTGACACTAGAGAGAGGAACTGGACATTAATTGCAGAAAATGTCCTTGGCACAATTGAACTCATGGATGAAGCCGATCTTACAAAGAGAGGTACCACAAGGACGTTTTAGATGATTACATGTTTGAGCTCTTAATGAATATTACTATCTTGCAGTGTATATGCATGCACCAGAGCGTTTGACAATTTCTTCTGTAAATGCAAGGAATGCAACTTTAAATTGGGTTTGGACAATTCAGCGATACAACCTCCTCAATCTGACTTGTCAAATATATGTCACAAATGGAGCAGACAAAATACAAGTACTTTTCTCCATATTATTTTAAATGTTTCAAAGAGCAATGCTCACCCCATGTTATGTTTTTCTCTGTTTTAGATTGAAAAGAATGGCTTTGGTCTCACATTGGTTGTAATAAATGGCCTTTTACCAAATTGTACTTACATTGTGATGGTACGATGTGCAACAGTGTTAGATTTTTGGAAATGGGGCGATTGGAGCCAAACAATGTCATTTAACACCCAGGGAGACAGTAAGTGTTGATGTTAACATTTACTTTTATCACATTTTTTTTCCTTCAGGACAAGCTTCCACTACCTAATACTCCACAGCCTTTGCAGCTGGCATGATATTATATGTCAATAAATGTAATGATCTGTTTTTTGGCCCAACAGTCCCCGATGCTCTAGATGTATGGATGCACAAAGAGGGCAACCTCACTCGTATCATGTGGAAAGTAAGTATTAACATCTGCTTTGAACATTTTCAAAAAAGTATTCTGTTTAATGTATAGTCAAATTTTTAGTTGCTTGAGAACCACCAAAGCAATGGAAACATCATAGACTATGAAGTGACTTGGGCGGACTCAGAGGAGAAAGAACAACAGAAAAAGTTGTGCATTGTTCATCCCAATAAAAGTGTTGTTCTAAACCTCAGCCCAGTTAAAAAGTATAATATCTTTGTCACTGCCAGAAATGCGTATGGGCGCTGTAGCCCTTCCCAGATGATTATATCCCATCTATCTCAAGGTATTTTATCACATTTTTATATACATATTTTTTATAGCTTGAAAAGCTGAGTTTTATGTTTTCCTTAGAGGCCCTTGTATGGGACAGTTGGAGGATTCATGGCATCGCAGGGGGCTTTAGTTTGTCTTGGACCAACACTTTCAACGCAACATGTGGATACATTGTGGACTGGTGTCCCATGTCAGGAGACGGCCTTGTGGATTGGATCAAAGTCCCTCCCAATACAACTAATGCTACCATTTACTCAAGTAAGTTCTTCTGAAAAGGTATATTAGGCGTGTACAGAGAAATTTAACCATCAGTGGTCGTTACAATTTATTAATGGCCATGATTCAAAGCTTTGCTAAAATTTCCCAAATTTTCTTTCATAGTTTACTGTGTTTTTTTATGGTTGTACATGTGCTGCAGATGAATGATGTTTAACTGTGGAAAAGCACTATCTGCATGATCATCATAAACAGACTTTTGTAGTGGAAACCAAAAGTCTGTATTCAGTATAAACTAAAGTGAAACATGACTTGTTATGACATCATGACACCATTGTGGTTTTGAGAAAATAGAAATAATTTGATCAGAGCATAGTATTTGGCAACTTCAACAACACATTCCCGTTTCAAGCATTTGGCTTTAGTTTGAACACCACTGGTCTATTTTCTGAGTTATACATGTGTTACATATTTCAGTGCATTTTTCTTCCCCTGCAGAGAACTTTAAAGATGGCGTACGATACAGGCTGTCACTTTACCTCTGCTCAGCGGAGGCTCTGGTGAGGCTGGCAGTGAGAGAAGGATATACAAAGGAGCAGAGTATGTCATATATACAGTATAATTGCATTATTATGATTCTTGTCTGTCTCTAACCTATGTCTCCTTTTACCAGAAATACCAAAAGGCTTGTTTAAAAACCTGAGGTGGGAACAGTATGCATCAGATGTGAAAATATCATGGGACAGTATTTCTTTAAGAGAACAGAGTGCTTTTATAAAAGGCTATGTCTTGTATTGCAAAAATGAAAGTTCAGTAATTCAGGAACAAACAGGTATTCAATCGAGATAACAATAAAATCCAAATGTTGAATTTACTTTAAGTTTTGTTTCTGCACAGATGATCCTCGGGTCTCTAGTCTGACCGCTAGAAACCTCATCACTGACTCCTACACATTCTCAGTGTATGCGTTGACCTCAGTTGGCGAATGTGGTTTGACATCATTATACGCTACATTGAATTCCCAAAGTATGTATCGTGCACTATAAAACTACCTTATACAGAAATAGGTAGATAGGTCAATGTGGTGTCATTGCAGGTGATGCCTTGGTCAGTGCCTTCCTGATCTCGCTGTTCATAGTATTCTCTTTACTGTGTATCCTCACTGTGGTGTGCTACAGACAATGGGCTCGGTATGATTGTTTTAAAAGTCTGTTTATTGATGTCAGAGAGATTCATTTAATTTTGAATGTTATCTTTCATAGCATCAAACAGAAAGTATACCCACCCATTCCTCAACCAGTGGTAACGGGAAAGTGGCTACCCTCTCCGGTATGTTTGAAGTATTCTATTACTCAATGGAATTATGGATTGGCCAATTATTGAATGGAGATTAATTTATTCATATATTTTTGTACAGCCCACCTCACACATTTGTTTGCATGCCAAATGAAAATGATAAAAAAATCAATCAATGAAAAGAATGGTAACAATGGAGAACAAATTAGCACAAGAATAAAGAAAATGGTACATTCACCAGCAAACTTTATTCACCCACTGGGAAATAGCACTATCTACTGTTTTTATTGTTTATAACATATAAAAAATAAATCTAAAAAACATGGGTCTCATGATTTACATTCAATTCTCCAAACAAGCTTTTGAGTTGAGTTTTGAGTCATGCTAGAATTTAGTTGTAAAAGAACTACTAAGTGTACCGTGTCCTGTGAGGTTTTAGTAGACTCTATTTATCAATCCAAGAGCCAAGATGCAGATCCAAAGTAAAAAATAAAAAATAAAAAGTTGGCTATTTATGGTTTTGCTATTTGCTAATTGTAGATCAGTTTGCTGCAATGTGTAAGAACGCTATCACTTTTCTGTTGCAAACATTGTATTGTTCATGTGCTGTTACTTCATCAGTGTTTTATGTTTCTATTCCTCCCGGCTACAGAAGGTGGTTTCACATTGTCCCAGTGAGGAACATATGGCTGACCCAGTAATCTACTGTAAAATTGCACCATCAGAGGATGGTTACATCTGCCCGAAAGAGAAGAGCCTTAACTCTACTACAACTGTTGAACAAAACCATCTTGAAAAACACATACCGTGTGAAAGGATTTCACCCCCAACGTCCAGCCTCGTCAGTTCAGGAGTGAATGGGTTTCCAAACCCAGTATACGATTTACTAATGCAGGGGAACAATGCCCAAGAGGGGCCTGACGGGGTCTCACTCTCGAAGAATTATAATCTGCAAGACTTTATTGAAAATGATTCGAATGCGGACCGTATGTCATGTGTCTCAGCCTATATCGTTCTACCACATTCGACCTAACATTATATTAAAAACGTGTTTGGTATGAAAATGGGCAGTTACTGCATTTTTGAAACCCATAGAGCTATGTTTATGTTAAAACAACATTTAGACCATAAATATATTAACTGACTTTAACCATGCACAGGTTTTCTTGTTTACTCTCATTGTGATTTTTTGTGTGAAAGTTTGTATATCTCGTGCATGCTTGAAATAAATAAAATAAACAAATAATGTTGACTTTAATTGTGCAATAGCAATGCAAGTTTTTTGCCTCAACAGGGAAATTTACACTCGAAATTTTGTTTTTATGTCGTTCTAAATGTGCTCTTGGGCTCTACTCAATAAGCAGGTGCACAGAGCCCCAAGGTCATGTCGAAAGATCCAAAAAGGATATTACAACTAAACCCATAATCCTCTTTTTCATTACGTGGACCCCCAACAGACTTGTTTCGTAAAAAAATAAAACAAAACTTATCAAAAAAGAGTTTGTCCTAATTTGCCACTTTGTCATAAATAATCATGAAGATAGAAATTTCATTAAAAAAAAAAAAAATTCATTGCATCTGTCTCTATACCTCTATAGTAAATTATGCAATAATTGTGGAATACTGAAATTTCAGAATGTCCATTGAATGTCACTTGATCTACTTTATTTACCTTGCCATATATGTACATAATTTACACTTTATATGTAACGCTATATTGGGATTGCATATTTACTTGCAGCTCTTATGAAACAGTTACCTTATCTCTGTATGTTGTGTGCTGTGTGCTCTTACTACTGTCCTGTATTTCTGCTGCAAAATCGAAATTTCCCCACTGTGGGACTAATAAAGGTTCTCTTATCTGGCTTACCATAACCAGAAACATGTTCACTTAAAAGAAGTGCGTCACAAATCACGAGAAATAAATAACTTGGGAGGCAAACGTACTAATGACGTCATCGAGAAAACAGAAAAAAAGTAAAGTAGAGAAAAAAATGCGTCTTTGATTCTCACACATTTCAAAAAATTATATCTAAATGGGAAAAACAACACAATAAGTCAAAATATGGACAAAAACCTTGAAAGATTAAATAGGCTTTTGCTTTTGTAGGGCATACTTTTGAGCCTCCTCTGCTGTTTATCGTCGCCATGGCAACCGCGGTGATCGACACAAAGACGACCAGACTTCAGGACCACAACAATATTCATCCAACGAAAACATGATAGTTTCACATAAAGCCAGGTGCCGGGAATTCACTGGCCCAACTCCGCATTCAGTCGCAGTGGTAAGAGATTGAGGTTGGATGGATTCACTTTAGCTAATGTCACAATATTTGGACTTGGTTTGATGCTAGCTAAACCTTTAGTTAGCTTATGGCATATGCTCATAAATAGTGTTAAATATGTGTTCCAGGTTGAGCTAACATTTTTGCTGAACTATAATGTCTAACTGTTGTCAGGTTTGTCTAATTTACCTTCTGGAAGTGGCAAATGCATAATTCCAAGAAAAAGTTGATTTATTAGTTAGTTATAAATTATTAGTTATAAAGTCATTACTAATCAAACACATTACAAATAAACAACAACTTTAGGCTCTTGTTTTGAATACTATGATTATATTGTAATTATGATAACAATTACAGGAACCATTAGGGCTATTATATGATTATATTGATAAAAGATAATGTTTCTTCTCACGAGCTCTTCTTCTCTTGTCTTCACTTTTTGTGTTGTAATACATTGATACAATAGTAATACATTTAATATTTGTTCTGTTTTGGCACTGTGGCTGAAACACAGCAAGAAAGTCGTGGGTTTGATCTGGTGTTGGCCTGAGTCTTTTGTTTCACTCTTTCACCGGGCACTCTGGTTTTCCTCACCACCAAAAACATGCATCATAAGTACCTAAAATCTCCAGTTCTGTTTGTCCTGACCAAGAGCCTCAACATATGGGGATGGGTCCTCGCGCCTGCTGCAAAATCAGAACCATTACTCCAAACAGGTTGCCTATGTGACTTTGAAGGAGGGTTCAAATGTACTGTAGAGGACACATTTCCCCAAGGGTCAACCTTAAATTACCTTAACTTACCATTATTTCTCTTTTTTTCTCCAAAGAGAGCAAAATTTCCCTCCTCGAAGCCCTTGGATTTCTTGACCCTGGAGAGAAGAAAAGTGGAGGGAGAGAGAGAAAGTTTTGCAGAGTTTGCCAAATATCAGCGAGCGTGGGATATTAAAAACTCTTGGATCCAGAATACAAATCAACACTATGTCAGAAACACAACAGAGCGACACGTCAAGGCTGCAATCAACCAATATGATAAAAGTGTTGAAGAGAGGAGAGAGAGGTCTGTTAAGCTACTGTGTACTCTTGTTTCATCTCTCAAACTAAACCATAGACTGTATATAGGTCCATGAACTAAACATTACTATCATATGCTGTTTACCATATAAAGGCTACGGATTATGTTGGAGACGGAAGAACAAGAGCTCCTCAAAGAGACAGAGGAACGAAGGGAGACCCCTCTGGAAAGACAAGCCAAAATGAAGGAGAGAGCCAGAGTCCTGAGAGACATAAGAGAGACCCAAAGACAGCAAATTGTTTCGGAAAAAATGGAACAACTTTTCATGTAAATTCTCAGTAATATAATGTTTGTACACGGCGTATTTGAATATTGATTGATCACTCTTATTCTCAGAAACCAGTGTGAGGAATTGCGCGCTGTCCTGGCCAAGCGCAGAGAAGAGGAGACCCGCATGGACTGTGTGGCTCAGGTTCTGTCCAAGCAGGAGCGGCAGCAAGAGCAGCAGATGAAGGACAAGCAGTTTTCGGAAATGTGGGAAGCCATTCGCCAAAGAGAGGAGCAGAAAGAGAGCGACCGCGTTGAGAGACGGCAGCAGAAAACCAACGAACATCTGAACCACCTGAGAGCGCAGATGGATGTTGTCGACCAGCAAAGACAACACGCCAAAATGTTGAAAGAGGAGGAGACACAACTGCTGGTGGGAATATCTACAAATTCTCACCATATTCTGAATTAATGTTGGTGTGGATTATAAATGGTTTTGTCTATCCAGCATGAGCAAAGAGAAATGCAGAGGCTTCAAGACGAGAGGGAGAAGCATCAAAGGCTCAAAGCGCAGAAGACGAGGAGGAGGCAGCTCGACCAGAGTTACAGGATGAAGATGAGGCGTCTTGCGAAAGAGCAGCAGGAGGAGCTGGCCTTTGACATGAGCCTCATACAGCAGGTTCTCAACCAGGAGAGCAACGAGAAACAGGAGTCAGCTCAAAGAAAGGCAAGCCATAAATCATGCACATGTACCCATATCTGTGAACCTCCTGAATGCAGGTCATAGAGCAGAGCGGTGATGGTTTATGTCTGTGTTTCTCTCTTGTGGTTTATGTTTGTCTTCTGTTCATTATCAATGTAGCAACCTCTGAGTCCAAGACAAATTTCCTACTAGACATAATACATTTATCTTGAATCTTGAACAGACCAATGCGGTTCACTCCATTGAATGTAGTGAATATGGCGGTGTTACAACCTCATCATAAAACACTAAATCAGGCACTCATCCAGGTTTACAGTCGACAGTCCATCTTGAAGCAACTGCCACAAAATCGTGAGGTTTAAAGCAAGGAGAGGGTCGAGAGAGAAATTTGTTTTGCTGTCATGCATGATTTCAAAAGTTATTAGAACCACAAATAAAAATGTTGCTTAAATTTTCAAAACAAAAAAATACATGGACATGGGAGTTTACTACTGCATCGTCCATTAGAGCAGCACCAAGAAGCATTTCTGATCACAGTGACAACACATGCTTGTGTCTTTTCATGTCAAAGTACAGGTCATGGGTACCAGCAGGTGGCCCATGTCCAGTACTATTTATTCTAAAGGGTCTGAGTAAAGACAAGACCCCCCTCCTTCACTAGGTATTACTAGTATTAATGCCTGAAATATATTGAAAACTTATTTTAGAAAGAGAAAAACAGTTTTCAGTCTTCAACACCAGGTGGCGGTAAAGAGCTACGTCTCAGGTCTCACCTTGACTAGATGTAAAACACATGTAGTTAATAAATCACCACAGAGTTAAGACCGTTTGTTTTACCTCTAAAGTATTCATTCATATTTTTTTGTCCCTCTAGGTTGAACTGCGAGAGGAGCAGCAGCGGTACAGACAGTACTTGGCTGATGAGCTGGAAAAGCAAAAGAAACTGGAGCACGAGACAGAGTTACTAATTGAGGAAAAATTACGAGAAACTTGGGACAAACGAGACAAACAGAGTCAAATGGAGAGAGAAGCGAGAAACCGACTGATGAAAGATGTACTCGAGGCCCGCAGTCTCCAAATCCAACACAAATGTAAGCAAGACAGGTGTCACTCAAGTGCTGTAATAGGGGTCCGTTCCTCACTTAGCATGTGTGTGTTTCAGTGGAAATGAACAAGCAAAAACAGGATCAGCTGGCCAAAGACAAAGAAGAGCTCATGCAAACGGCTGAAGAAATTAAGTTAATAGATCAGAAGGAGAAAACACAGTATGTATGAAAATATTTCCCAATTTTGTTTTTTGACTACAATATTCCTTCACTTTCTTTCTTGTAGACATAAGGAGTTCAGCCGCGCCTACCAGGCCGATCTTCTGGCCCAGATGCAGCACAAGCAGCAAAGGAAACAATTTGAGAAGGTTCTGGAAGATAGGGAGTTTCAGAGCGGCCTGGCCATGCATCAGGAATACGAGAGGATGAAGGAGCGGATCCTGTCCAGACCGACCTCTCACACCACTGTGGCTCACCCATTCAGGCGCACGGAGGGGGCCAAATCTGCTCCGGTACAGAAGAGTCATAGAGAATAACGCCAGAATATGGCTCTTGCATTGTGAAGTTTAATAAAATGTGATTTAATTGTACAAGCTTTGATTACTACTACATGCTGACCATAACTGTAAAACGTACAAGTACAGTAGGTCTGTAGTACAAGATGGAACAGGCTCGCTTAAATCTTAATATTGTTTGTGATTCCTTTAGCAACAGTTGAGCTCTCAAAGACTCTTGGCAAATGTTACTCAATGTAAGAAAACCTTTCATCACAATACTCATTCAAGGAAATGCTGAAGATATTTATGAAGATATTCTGTGTCTCTACGGTAGAGGAGCCAGGCACCTATTTTTAAACCTTTTTGTGGTTTTGTCAAAGACAACGTCTATTGTGGGTGGATCAACATCTTGTCAAATTCATGGGTAGGTGAACTCATACCGACTCAAGGAGTGGTTTGGGAGTGGACAAAGTTACTGATGTAATAATAATGGTTTTAGCTCAGACTTGTCTGATGTGTATGTTAACACACTCCACATCAAACTGAACATGGCACAAGGCAACAGCATGTTCTGGACTTATCTCGGCTAAACAACTTTATATTTATTTATATTTGGAGAAGATGGCCACGAACTACTATCCCTATTCAAAGGTAAATGTTCTTTATCCACTTACCATGGTAATTTTCTTTAAAGGCTGAAACCATTGTCTCCAACCATGTTAAGAATCAGTTATCAGTGAACCTCCATCACGTTAATGCAGAATTGTTCACTGGTTACTTCTAATTGAGTCAGAAAGATTCTCGCACAGTGAGAGAATTAGTAGCTCAAGAATTTGCCAGCAGTTCAAAACGTAATATGTTTAATGTGGTTGTACTATTTGGCAAGACATGAGAGCTGTGTCTGGACTGGTTTTATGCACAATCATTTCCAAAAGCCATTCGATGAGAACTTCTTCTAGTTTTTTAACAGTAATAATGACTGTCATATCTAAATAACGATATCAATTATTACATTCAGTGTATTTCTCCATCTGTATTCAGTGATTTCAGTATTTTGGTATATGTGAGGTGTTTGTGTGTGTTTTTTGTGTGGCATTTGTGTTTATGAATCAGTAACAATATTCAACTCTAATTTTAAGGCCAGGGGGTCATTGTAAATGATAATTTGTTCTCCATTTACTTGGTTAAATATTGGCTAAATTAATTATTTCACAATGACCCATTAAAGACACTGTTTGCGATGTTTCATATACTTTATTTGCAGTGTTTTTTTCATGCGTTTATATAGATTTATTTGCATTTCACAGACCAAGGTCACTTAAAACGCTTTACAATTTGAGGGTTGTAGCTTATCCACTCATTGAAATTAAAATCCAGTGACTCAACAAGTGACTCAAAAAGTAAGCAATAATGAAAAAAATAAAAATAGGTAAACAATTGCCAAACTTTTTAAATACACTTGAAACTATGTATGTAGTTGTACATACTCATCATTGATTTTTTTAACAGGAAGTCACAAACTAGGAATTTGCTTTGGTATATGGAGCAAATAAGTTATAAAAAGTAAGAAATAGAGGGGCTTGCATAAAACAATCTTTTATTAAAAATCTAATGTCCTGAGGTATGATATTACAAGGTGGCAGAAGTATAAAGTGACAGTGTAAAAAATATGAAAGATGTAGTAGAAACATGTTGTATGCAATTAATAATTCAGATGGTTGTCCAGGTGAATTTTTTATTAAATTAAACATGAATTAATTATGCATGATCAAAATACTGATGTCAATAAGAAAATAGTAATAAATATGCAGAAAATTGAATCCGTGTGGAAAAGTAAAACATTTTACAGTAAGTTATTTTATGGTTGTTTAAATTCGAGGGATAAGGTTTGTTTAGCGTTCGCACGATGCAGTTCTCTCAGTATCCAGCAGGGGCGCGTGTGGTCGGGACAAACACACCGGCGGGACGAACCTGGCAGATCCTCACGAAGCTACAGTTCAGCGGGCTCTTTGTGGACACCAGCTCATCAGGAAGTGGACTCTTACGCTTTACTCACTTTTGAAAGCACTTCTGTGGGATATAAACTAGTTTCTTCAATTTGACCTTTGCTGGGGGCGCGTGTAACAACGACGTCTCCTTAAAACACCTGCCTCGAGACCAGGAAAGGGCTCGTGCTGTCAGACACCTGCTGCTGGTGCTCCTGACACTGTTACTACAATGGAAATATAATGGGATCTGCAGCACTTTAGAAGAGTTTATCAAGTGGGACATAACAGGGCATCATGTCTGTCAACGAGTTGTACACCAAGGTGAGTAAAGGACCAGGGCTAGCGTTAGTGTCATGAAGATAAGGATTTGACTATTTAACCATTCTTTGTACAAGCTGAAGCCTGGGCTCTATTGGTTATGTGGTTTATTTATTATCCTTGTAAAATAGAGATTTGCTTTCAAACTATTGAACTGCTGAAAGTTCATTTGTGAGAGAATAGGTGTCATTCAAATACAGATCAGTGCTCATGTGTGATTCACCTGTTCCCCACTGACCAGGTGACGTAATCTACCAGTGGGACTGTAACATGAGCATTTTCACATCTGAATATAAATATTTAACCTACTGGAGTGTTGTGGTTAGTGGGTTTTGTACTGATCTACAAATCTGGCATAAGTTTTAATCCTAGTGCCGGAATACCTAACTTTGATATCACAGAAAATAACTATGAAACAAAATCTAGTTTCTATGTTCTTCAAAACAGTTTGGTTCTATTACCTGTTTTCACACGCGTGTACTGTTTGGCCTTTTCCACATCTTTAGATCAGAAAGCGTAGCAGTGTGTAATGGCTAGAATATGTTCTAATAACATATAGACAGCCTGTTGTGGTGTTATGAAAATCAAAGCCGGCAGCATCAGCATGTGAGCTGTTCTTTTTTCTCTTGAGGACATTGTTTAGTTTTTACTTTTATTTATCTTTATAGTGTCAGGGTGTTCATAAAAACATAGTTATTTTTTTGTATTAAATTCTAAAACCAAACTATTAAATGCAAAAATATTCTGAAGCTTGCTTTCCAAGTTACAGAGCCACAGTTCAAGTAGGACAAGCATGAGAGATCATCAGGCAGTTTTTAGAATAAAACCTTTCTAAAGCAATTTAATCCAGCACTACTGTCTTCTAATGGACACTTAGAGAGCATTTTAATGCTATAAACTGCAGGAGTCTATGTTGTTTTAACAGTATCTTGGATTTAAACAAAGTGGGTAATGGGGAAAAAGGAGTTCTGTCAAATTTGAGCTCACTAGAAGCTACATCCCTGTCCGTTATCATATTGAGGAAGTAGTTTAATCAAAGCGATAAAATCATATTTGTATGTTTAAGTTAAATCATGGGCATTCATAGGAGCAATTACCCTGCATGTTATTCTTAAAAACGAATAACCTTTTAAATTAAGAGGTTATTCCACTGGACTAAATTATAATGTATATTTGTGTTTTTTTGTGAAATTGTTAACACTTATTTACATAAACGTTTGGGATTGATTTTGTGCTATTCATTATTGAGAATCATGCGTTTGTATCAAGACCCAGATGTCATGACAGAGGAGTCCCGTGGCCGCCACATGACCCATGTATTGTCACATAATCGAATTATTAGAATGAATCATCCATGATCAACTTCATCCATGATCAACTTCAGATAGAGGTTTTACTATCTCTAAAAGCACAGTTCCATCTTTGAGGATTACTTTTATCTACGTGCTCAATTGCAATTCATATTTTTAGGGAATATAAAATAATTTTGAGCGATACATTTATAATTCTCTTCCAATCCATCAGTCAGATCTGTGGTTCGAAGCCTTTTCTAAATCATAATGTATATTTAACAATACTATGTGGTATGTAGTATGATGTGTAATCTATATTTTGACACGCTTTATTTTCACATTGATGTGAGAATGTGTGAGTGAGCAGTTGAAGTATTTCTTCTGCTTTATCTGGGGCCGAGGCACTTCCCCGTCCACACTTCCTCCAGGGCATACGGGGGATTCCCGAGGCGTTCCCTGGAGAGCGGAGAGACACAGTGCCTCCGGTGGCCTGGGTCTTCCCCCGGGGCCTAATGTCTCCTAATCCGGTGGACACTAAACTTGACTGCAGCTGCCACCTGCTGCTTTCCTTCTGACCAGTAATCCTCCTTTAGTCCATCTGCCGAGACGTTTGTGAGACTTTGGAGATGCACAATTTTGTCTATTTAGCTATTTTCTGACAAATATTAGATTAGAATTGTTGTATTAAAAGAAGAATTTTCAAACCTTTTATGTACTCAAAGTCGCAATGAATAATGGGAAACATCACATTGATTATTAGAAAGTGTACATGGAGAGCACATACCGCACCAACACCTGATCATTTCAGAATTTGCACCTTCTCCACCGACTCCCACTGATGACTGCTGTCGTTGTGTCCTTGGGCAAGACACTTAACCCCACTTTGCCCAAAGCCCCCACTGAAAGATCAAGGCTATGCACTCAGAGAGCAGCCGTCCTCCTGTGGACTCACCACCTGCAGAGGGTCAGTGAGGGGCTGGTGCTATGAGACTTGGGTGGCATCTCTGACTGCCACCCCCCTGACCCAGAAATGGATTAAAGGGTAGAAAATGGATGGATGGATGGTATCACACCATCCATGCACTCTACACACAACATTCAGTTCAATCAGTTCAATAGTTTCGGCACAATCAGACTGAGCAAATAATTTAGAATGAATAGATGATTTGCTCATGAATGTATTTTTAGGAATAGTACAAGCAGTTTTTTTATTATAAATTTTGAAAATAGATATCTTTAACTGGCTTTGTTTAATTGTTGCCGTACACAAAAATAGACAAATGTTTTTCTCCAAAGTCTGATTCATGTTCCACATGGTTTTTTTACTGACAGAGGTCTGTGGACCAAATCTTGAATCTTTGTCAAATGTGATTAATTGCACCAAATTATAATGACCTCAGATTTGAAACTCAGGGTTTAGGATTAGCCCCTCTGTGGTGGGGGAGGTCCTCTCTGTCCTTTGTCTTATTGAATGCTGTTGATAGGGACTTAATTATAATTGCCTGTCCTTTTGAAGCTTGCAGTTAGTTTTTTTTTTCACTATAGATTAAAACAAATTATATATATTGTTTTTTCTAACATAAAATACATCAAACACACAGCAAAGAACACCAAATGAAATTAAACTGGTAATTATAATTGCATGACTCACTTAAACAATACTCCATAGAAATAGTGATTTGGCTGTATGTTCAAATGTGTGGCCGCATTTACATTACAGCAGTAAATCTACAGCAACAAATGTTGTTTTGTGTGATTGTGGGGCTGTAACAGGAGTAACCAGAATGTGTGTGTTGTTGTTAGCTGCTGCTGTGGATGTGTGTGTCCAGGGCCCTTGTGTCTCAGAGGAGGCATGGAGCTACAGCCACTGGCTGCAGTAGGAAAAGGAAATAATAATGAATTGAATATTCAAATAATAATATTGTATGTTTCACTAAAAACATAGACAGCAAACATAGACAGCTTGATTACAAATTACATGGATCAAAGAAGCGTTTTGTTTTGCTCACACGTTGCACTTGAGAATGGCTCAGAGTGTGGAGTTTGTGATGCTAGGCCTCACTTGAGACAGATCAAAGTTCCTCTAGAGGCAGTCCTTCCTGCTAACACACCTAGTTTTGCCCTGTGGCAAAGCCCAGAGGCAGAGTCTCATTCAACGGTTTTTTGTTTCCTTGTTTCCTTGATTCCTTATTTACTTGTTTCCTGGTCATCTGCTGAGTTTAGCCTTTTCTCTACAGGAAATCCTAAACCCTGAGTCTATAATCAAATTAAAGTTAATTTTAGTCCATTTTTTAAAACTCGGGTTTGCGAAACTTTTTAAAGCTCCAACCAGATGAACTAACTGTAATCTTAAATCTTGAACTGTAAATAATATATCGTCAAGAATATATATAGTGCTAGTATGTTTGTCAAAAGAAGGTTGAGGAAAAAGCCAAGAAGCAAAACAGAGAAGCGAGTAGGAAGCATGGTGTTGAAAATGGGAAGCACACATGAGGGGGTGGGGCTTGTTGAGGTGAGCTCGATACCTGAGCGACTCACTGTGGTTTTAGTGCAGAGGAAATCCGAGAACAGAGATATGGAAGTTTCTGAGCACTGAAAAGATTGCAAATCTCTTCTGTTTAGCAACTACCTATAGTTTTTCAACAAAACAACAGCAATGATCCAGAAGTAAACATTTAATACATGAAGCAGCCTGATATTTGAGAGTTATCCCCTGTTTTCTTAGCTGCACCGGTTTCAAACTAAACCTGTTGTACCTGTTTACACCATGACCTGGACTCAGCAGGTTCTTGCTGATCTGGGATTTGTGTGACAACTCTGATGTGTTTGTAGGTGCATTATGTAATAAAAAAACAATAATATAGGCAGAATCTTAACTGTCATCTTCTGGCCTAGTTGTGATTCTGTTTTTCCTCAAAGACAAACATGAAGTCTTTTAAATCAAACTTTCATCTTTCATATAACTGAAGTGGTTTACAAACTCTCTGTGGTGACGGTCTTGTCAGTTTGTCCCAATTTCAGCCTGATTGTGTTTCATGCTGAGACGCACTATGGAGGGTATGTGCCACAACCATTGAGCCGCTTCAGTGTCCCAGATAAACAAACAAGGGCTATGGCCCCATTTATTGGCAGCAACGCATGGTATTTTATAGACAGTCCATGTTGATATTAATGCATCTGTGGTAACTTTAGTGCTTTGAACACAACAGGCCTCTGCCCAACCCTCACAGACAAAGTCCAGTTTCTGCATTACATCAGGTCTGCCTTGGTCACATATCTAACGTCAGTGCCTCTTCACTTGTGTTTAGGCTTCACTGGAGTTGCTTACATTAATCATTTATGAAATATTCTAGACTCACCAAATGCCTAATGAATAGAATAGTGAATGTGCTATACATGTATGGTGTTTAAAAACAAAATTTCTCATTGATGCAGTGATGTAAATGAGTTTGTAAAATTATGCAAATCTTGCATGTCTTCAGTCTAAGAGTTTAGTCGGGTGACTTCCGGTATATTCCAGAGTGAATATGTGTGCCTGTGCTATGGCTACCATGAAAATGAGTCCAGGGAACAAAGACAATTTGCCTGAATTTAACACAAGGCTTGCAACATTACGTCAGTAGTTTAAATTTGCACTGGAAGATCCAGGCTCAGGTATAAGAATGGTAAAATAAGTATGTTTAGCCTCAGTGAAGTTTTTACATTACAACTGGGCTAATAAACAAAACATGAATATTGTATTAGAGTAAATTATATTTATTGTTAACCCCAAAAAATCAGGTGAAAAATCCCCTATATCTTTATTTATTGTTCATCCCTATAGGTGAACATATACAAACATGATCGCCTCAGTCTTAGCCTTGAAGAAAAGAGTTGAGTCTGTTGTGCTCCTGCTTAGTTGGAATTCAATTCAATTTCTATTCTTTTCATTCTTGTATAGCCCTAAATCACAACAGTTGTGATCTCAGAGGACTTAACAAAACCATTGAAATTGCCAACACAGATCAGAGAATCGAACAGTTCAATCACAAAAACTATAGAACACATATGTATTGGTCCATAGGGAGTTGACCAATGTCCATAAGTGTTTAAGTGTTTTACAATGTTAGAGTGTCCTGGATCATCACCACAGTCCTTCTTGTTAGACACTAACAAGAAGGACTGTGCTGACTCCTGCATCAGAGCAAAACTCTAAAATCCAGTGAGAAACCTCAGGGAGATCCACATTGAGAGAGGGATCCGCTCCCTACGGACGGAAGAACTATAGATCCAGGTCTTAAGCTACAGAACGCGGATCAAGGCCAAGACTCAGGTTGTAGAACGAGGACAGGTGCGGTGCAGGACTGAAGCAGCTCCCAGACGGGGAGGGGTTGCAGCCCATAAGGCGGGTTGGGCAGGGCAGTCCGCAGGTGTAGATGGAGGGCGTGGGTTCAGGGGTCCCATCATCGTGCCATGAAACAGACAATGGGACAATGGGTGAATAGCAATCAATAGAAGTTACCATACTGGAATGTGTTGAAAGTATCCTTAGACCAGATACATTTTGTAGAGTAAGCAGTAATCAGTTTGATGCATCAAATTGTTTCATAAAGAAATATTACATCTCATGTCAATGACCCAAAGAGATTACCATTTTCCTCTCAAGGGGCAATTCTTAAATAGATACATTCATCATATTCCACAAACCTAAATTTGAGGACATTTGTGTTAAAGTGATGACAGATCTGATTATTATTTGTTTCTTATCTTTCCTACATTCACAATAATAATGCATGCATTTTGCTTTGTGTCTTTTGTTTTAGTACACTCGGGTCTGGATCCCGGACCCAGACGAGGTGTGGAGGGCGGCGGAGATCACCAAAGACTACAAAGAAGGAGACGCGGCTCTGCACCTCAAACTCGAAGATGAGACGGTGTGTTTTCTGCTTCCGTTTTGTCCAGTCAGTATTTTGACGTTGTGTGTCTGGTTTAGACGCTGGAATATGCCGTCAGTCCCCCAAAGAACCCTCTCCCGTTCCTACGTAACCCGGACATCCTGGTGGGGGAGAACGACCTCACAGCCCTGAGCTACCTCCACGAGCCGGCTGTTCTGCACAACCTGCGAGTGCGCTTCATCGAGTCCAATAACATCTACACCTACTGTGGTGCGTGTCTACTTTCATACAACTAAACACAAGAATCATTCATTAAACAAATCTTATTGTTTATAGGAATTGTGCTTGTTGCTATAAACCCTTACGAGCAGCTGCATGTGTATGGAGAGGAGGTCATCGATGCCTACAGCGGCAAAAACATGGGTGACATGGACCCACATATTTTTGCGGTCGCTGAAGAGGCGTACAAGCAAATGGCCAGGTAGAAACAACACATTATTAACAGTCTCGAAATGTGAACATGTACTGTCAATGGGTTGTGTTTTAGTTTCACAATCTTCCCTTTTTTCCTGAAACTGTCATTATTTATCAATTCTGTTCTAATTATTTTCTCATAACGGTAATTAGAAGTGGTGACAATATTCAAAAGCCTATGCATGGTGTTGGCCAGTAGAGACAACTTTCAGATATAAGAATTATTATTTTATTTTTATAAATGTCTTATATGGGTACCTGCCCATTGATTGGTTATTGTATTTAGATTATGAGGAATGTATGGCACAATGCACACATTTATATGTGATATGTAAACAGAGCCCTGGATCAATGTTTCATTCAGTTTGATTTATGTTGAGGGTAAAATAGGGTAAATGTTATGCTGATGAGTCCAGGATCAACTTGTAACAGTAATCCTGGACTGTAAAATTACTTGCTGAACAGGTATGGCATTAGCTAAATGTGAGTTTACTGTGTTTTGTATAATTAAGAAATCCATATTTTCTGGTAGTAGTTGTTTTTTCATGAACTCCATTTAATTGTGGTCTTTAGAGAGAAGTTTGTCGGATATATTGAGATGCTTATTAGTAGTGAAAGCGTTTCCCACATCATCATTGCTGGCTGGGCATGTCCTATTCTCCATAGAAGTCATTGGCATATTGTACATTATTCTTTCATTATTTGAACATGAAAACCGTATTACTGATGACTAAAGATTGTCCTTCCTACATTGTTGTATTTCTCCCCCTGAAAGTGACTGTTGTAGGATGTAGGTTGATAATGGCTATGCTCATGTCCACACCATGACACACGCACACTCCCTCTTCTCTTTATAACAGTTACAAATCAGGACAATGATAATTACAGTGCAGCCTACGCATCACCTTTTGCTCTCAGCTTGTGCATGTGGCAAATGGTTAAACAAAACTATACCATAGTTAAACACACAGCCTAAAAGTTTATATTTTGATGTGCAGGCCTGAGTATGTGTTGACATTTCCTTGTTATTAAACGTAGTTATGTTTGCAGAGATGAGAGAAACCAGTCCATCATTGTAAGTGGTGAGTCTGGAGCTGGAAAGACGGTCTCTGCCAAGTACGCTATGAGGTACTTTGCCACCGTCGGGGGATCGGCAAGTGACACAAACGTGGAGGAGAAAGTTTTAGCCTCCAGTCCAATCATGGAGGTGAAAGTTATATCTCTGTATGAATGTAAAAATATGATAGTAGAAGTAAATACATTTCTCTTTGGTAATGCTCTGTTCTGTTTTTGTTACAGGCCATTGGAAATGCCAAAACGACGCGAAACGACAACAGTAGCCGCTTCGGAAAATACATTCAGATTGGTTTTAGCAAACATTACCGTATCATTGGGGCCAACATGCGAACATATCTCCTCGAGAAGTCCAGAGTAGTTTTTCAGGTAAATTTAAATCATTGAACTAAGACCAGCAGAATGCACTACAAACCTGTTTTGTTAATTTAGATGTCATTATATTTTCTGTTATAGGCTGAGGATGAAAGAAATTACCACATATTCTACCAGTTGTGCGCCTCCTCCAGTTTACAGGAGTTCCAAGATCTCGGACTTGGTGAGTTTGCTTCAACTTTTCTGTGTCTGAATCTGACTTCAGGCCTCTTGCACCACAGAAATCCTAGTGAAGGTGCCAAAATCAAGACAAGGAGTGTTTTCTACGGCTTGATTTGAAATATACATATATAAGCACAATATAAAGCATTTTAGGTGCCCATTTATGTCTGTGCTGAATGATGATGATACTGGAATATACGTTATCTACCGAGTACTACATAGCCCCTGATTGACCTTCTGTTTCACCAGTGTTTAAAACGATTGACATATTCCCCCTACAGCTCTATTTATTTAACAATGACAAATCTGTATGTTTTCCAGGGAGTGCGGAAGGCTTCACCTACACATCGTTGGGGGAGAATATTTTTATCGAAGGAGTTGATGATGCAGCAGATTTTATAAAGACGAGAGAAGCTTTTACGCTATTGGGTAAAATTACAAATTAATGATTCTTTCTGTTAGAGATGGGCAGTACCACGTTTGTAATTAATGCATTTTGTAGCTAATGCTTGCATATCAACCGGCAAGTTTTGATGCATTTTTAGTGATGATAGAATAGATCAAAATACACTCACGGTTTCATTTTTGTTCCCTAGCCCCTATCCATCCCTAATTGTTCCATGTAAATATGGTCCATGACATTATATTACATACATTTTAGAAATATTAACATTTTAAAACAAAATACAGCTGGACTTGTTTTGTTTAGAAGCTGACGTTTTGCTCCCAACAAGGTAGTGAGTCAAGGTGTATGTATCTCCATTTTAAAATTGTATTACTCGCCTGGATGTCTCAACATCTTCACCATTTATCTTGTATATATTATAAATATATTTTATATATAAACAAACAGGAACAGAAGGATGAAAAAAATCTTATATATCCTGTCCCTCATTTTTAAAATGTTCACCTATACCCAATCTAGCAACAAATAAGGTTTTTGTTGACCCTAACCCTAGTCGCAAAGGAAAAACTTAAATATACTTAATATTTGTATTGTTTTCATATTCAGTATGTTATTTGTCCTTTTATACATTTTAGATGGAAGATATTTTAATAATATTTCAATTAGTTTATTAGTTAATTATTGCTCAGTATTTGAAATAAATGTTTTTGTGCCTTCACAGGTATAAAGGACAGCTATCAAAGTGGCATTTATAAAATCATTGCATCGATCCTTCATCTTGGGAACATTGAGATCTGCCCAGAGAGAGACGGAGACTCCTGCCACATCTCGGTTTGTTTTATTTCAATGGTGTAACGTTCAAGCTCAAAATTGTGGGAATTGCATTATGTCTGTGCTGCTGATTGTCTGTGAAGAAAAACTTAAAATATGCATTATTCTTTTAGGACCATATGGTCACAGATATGACCTAACCATTTAGGTTGAACAATAACCTATCTAAAGTGCTTTTTCTCAGTTTATTTTCATCGTATGCATTTTAACACGTTGTTGACGTTATTTCTGCAGAAAGACGACCCGCACCTCAAACATTTCTGCAGACTTCTCGGAGTGGAGCTGCAGCAGATGGAGCACTGGCTCTGTCACCGGAAGTTAGTCACGGCCTCAGAGACCTACGTGAAGAACATGTCCCTGAAGCAGGCCACCAACGCCCGGGACGCCCTCTCCAAACACGTGTACGCTCGAATGTTCGACTGGATCGTAGAACACATCAACAAATCACTGCACACATCCGCCAAACAGCACTCCTTCATCGGTGTCCTGGACATTTATGGGTACGTAGAAAAGTGGACACTTGTTTGTGATCACACAAAGCTTACGACTTTCCTTGTTTCTCAGATTTGAAACATTTGAAATCAATAGTTTTGAGCAGTTTTGCATAAATTACGCCAATGAAAAACTACAACAACAATTCAACTCGGTGAGTGTCAAAATCAAGTCATGGAAACCAATGTAAATATGTGTTGCTAAAACAATTGTGTCCCTGTAGCATGTGTTCAAGTTGGAGCAGGAGGAGTACATGAAGGAGCTGATCCCCTGGACGCTGATAGATTTCTACGATAACCAGCCGTGCATCGACCTGATCGAAGCTAAACTGGGGATTCTGGATCTGCTCGATGAAGAATGCAAAGTAGGAAATAGTCCTTAGTTACTTTTGTGAATGACCTGGAGGAAAATACATATTTATATGATTGATATATCTATGTTTTATTATAGAACAAACTATGTAAATACAGTACAACAATAATGTACATTTATTTGAAACTGAATTACCGGATCTGGTTGCACCTCTTAAAAAACATTTGGTACAGCCCGGTTTACGTGTTGGAATTACAGTTTGTTAAGCTTTACTTTTGTCCTCAATTTCTATTTAGATTATTTTTTCCTGACTTTTTAAAACTTGTATTGTGTATTTCTCTTAATAAAAAACTATATATTCTCTTCACATCTGCTCCAGGTGCCAAAGGGAACAGACCAAAACTGGGCTCAGAAATTGTACAAGCAACACGGAAAGAGCGCTCACTTTCAGAAGCCGCGCATGTCCAACACCTCGTTCATCATCATTCACTTCGCAGACAAGGTGACGGATGGATGACTTGTGTTTATGATGTGACTTGTGTTTATGATCTTAAAGACTTCTCTGTGTTGGCAAGACAGAGGTCCACATAAAATGACACCGAGGGCTGCATTTGTCCCGCGAGCCTGAGTTTGAACATGCCCAGAGCAGACCCATGCAGCTCTTATTTGAATGACACTGTTTTACACTACGGTTTTATTCAACACAGACTCGGGGCCTCAGGGTTTGTCCTGGTTTAATACAAAACATGTGCCCATAACTAGCTTCTTGTTATTTTATTGTACCAAAGAGCCGCAGCACTTCTCTGAACACAGATCTGCAGCTTTCAATCAAGTATTCTCTTGATTATTATCTTTTAAATAAAGTATTCTATTAACTGTTTAACCTATATTTTAATTATATTTAAATGATCATTTCTTAAAGTCAGGGCATTGCTTTTGTTGTTTTGATATATTTCTGCGTTGTGCGTTAATATATACCGTCTATGGTTGTGTCAAGAGCCAAAATGACTTCTGTGTGCTTTATTTATTTTTTTAATTGTTATTCACATTGTTTTATGTTGTGTTGATTTACTATGGATCTGTGTGTCTTTTTTTCTAATATGCATCGCAAATTCTCCCGTTATTATAATTTTTTTCCTAGGTTGAATATCAGTGTGAAGGATTTCTGGAAAAAAACCGAGACACCGTCTATGAGGAGCAGATTAATATCCTCAAAGCCAGTGAGGTAAGGCCCAGATCAACATCCAGTAATAGCCTCATTTACATTTCTATTGTATAGTTGTGGTAATCAAGCAAACTTACCAGAATCAAACAAATTATCAGTAATTTAGTAGGGCAATTAGAAAAGTATCAAAGAACTCAAACGCGCTGCTCCGTTTCTTATCTAGCAGAACGGTAATGAGCAACGGTGGTTTTCAAAGTACAGCTGACCTCATCTGGGTCATCGGGACAAAGGCCTATCTTTCTATGATCATTATTGCGGGTATTTGTGTCCAGTAGTTTCCGTATGGCTACTAATAAAATGGTTGTGTTACAGTTCTTTCTCCATTTATCATATTGGATTAAAAAGATACAATGAAAAGAATGTACTGGGTTTTGAGTCTTAAGTTCACACTGGACCAACTGAGGTTCACTTTGGGATAATGCTTTATTTGTGGATATAAAATAAGTGAGCACGTGTCTACTAGACACTGAAACAGATCTGTGAAGAATTATTTCCCCAAGTGAACCAGCCCTGGTCCACTTAAGAGAACTTAGGCATTTTTCTCATACAGTACTTGCTGGCTTATTTATAGGCCGCTACTTTTTCTGAAGTCTTTGAACCCTGTGGCCTATAAAGCAACACCACCAATGTTTGTATTTTATTTTGTTTAAGCGTCTCCTGGGGCTTTTATATAAACTGAAAAAAAAAAAATATTCTCATCATCAATACCTTGGGTCCATCAAATACTAGTAGAGATAGGAAGCATGTTTGTTGTCAAAAAGATTGCATTTACCAGAGGGTTTTGTCCATAACAAGTCAATAGTGCGTTAAAACACACCGTCATTAAATCATGTTGTGACCAATTAAAACAGTTGTGTATCGGTTTTGTTTTGCTCCATCAGCTGTTGGTTAAGTGAACATAACAACATGAAAACTTGCGGCTTATAAGTTGCAGGTCTGTGTACACTTCATAGTCCAGCAAGTACTGTAGTCCTGCTGTTTTCATACTCAATACAAAAAAAATCAACCGTTTTATAATAATTAATATAGTTAGTTATGAAAGTGTGATTGGTTTGACTTCATGTAATTGGGAACTGGTTTGATCTGATCTTAACAACAGCATATATTTTTAATGTCTAGTTTCAGCTTGTGGCAGATTTATTCCAAGAAAAAGGCGACGCTCCGGCCCCAAAGTCGTCCAGAGTGAATGTCCGAGCAGCGAAGAGCACCCCGAAAGCCCCCAACAGAGACCACCGGAAGACCGTTGGACACCAGGTCTGCCCTCAGGCTTAGTGCGCTTCATACCTGCTTTTTCCTCCCCTTTTTGACACATAATTTACCTGTTTGCACAGTTCCGGAGCTCACTGCATCTCCTGATGGACACGCTCAATGCCACCACCCCTCATTATGTGCGCTGCATCAAACCCAACGACCTCAAAGAGGCCTTCTCGTGAGTCTGTTTCATGTTTTGGAAATGCATTATTTATTCCGGTGACATGTGAGGTACCTGTTAAGCTTTTTTTATTCAATCTCCTGTGATATTGAAGCATTTCACATATAACTTGTTTTATTCTTAAAGATTCTTTTTACACTCTCTTGCTGTATACTGTTGTCTTTGCATTTGTGTTTTAATCAGAAAGCTACATGTAATCAGATCTGCTGGACTTTATTATGTTTATATGTTTATGTAACAGCCTTTTCATATATTTCAGCCATGTTGTGAATCGGGTGTCAAACTAATTTTGGTTGGAGGCCGAATAAAAAAATAGAGCTGATAAGGGGACAAAACTACAAAAGTAGTTTTCTTTTTCTTTCTTTGTAGTAATTATGAAGGTATTTTGCATAAATATTCTTTTATTTTGGATTTTTTCTGAACAAAATGAGTTTGGATTGAACCAAAATGGGACCAAATATATAAGGGATATTATTGAAGAATGCTAGGCCAATGTATTTTTGACTGTTTAGTTTGGATATACAAAAAACATATACCTTTTATTACATAAAAAGTGGCATAATGCCAGTTATTATAATATTAACTCTGGATCTGACCAATTATTAGAAAAAAGTTACAAGTCGCATGCGTTGCAATCCTCTTAGAAAAACATATTCTATTGCTGGACTCTTGGTTTCATACAAAGACTGGTCTGAGTTTGACCAAATTGAATGATTGGTCAGAGTCACATGTTTTCTGAGGTCACAGTCTGTCACTCGCTTCTCCGGCTGAATGCGGTGTATTTTGTGTGATGCCGAGAAATAAGTTGCGGTACGTCTGAGTTTTTATTGTTATTAGTCGTCTGTTAAAATAGTTGTCCGGTTCTTGTCCAGGTTTGACTCTCGGCGGGCAGTGCAGCAGCTCCGGGCCTGTGGCGTTTTGGAGACTATTCGTATTAGTGCTGCTGGATATCCGTCACGGTGAGTCTCCTGAGAGCTTCCACGCTGAGGTTCAACAGCGGAATGCTGGAGTAAAGACAAACATTTGCCTTTCATGTTTTATATCGTATACTCTTTCGTTTGTCTATTGTCTATAACAGCTGTCGATATATTTTGTTAGAATTGTTGCCTCACCCAGCCTTATACAAGTTATTGAATTAGTGTTTGGTAATGGCACATGAAAGAGTTGCATTCACTGTTGCATAACAGTTCAAACGTTTGGTGCCTTTTAAGAAATACAGTAAATTAACCCTTTAGTCTAATTGGATTAAATTAAGTGGTTTCCCTGTTCATTTTAGGAATAATCCACACGCTGTTTAACATACAATATTTCTTGCTTTGAATGTTTCTTTGGGTTCTCTCAATGTGTAAGCATTCATGTTGTTGATTTAAGATGTTGAATGTATTGGTCTTGACAGAGAGACACTCTTCAAATACTCTACAAACTATCCAAGTATGAGCTTTTAATCCAGGACAAGTTCTATGCAGCGGCCCTGGCTTCCCACAAAATGTCCCTATATTTTTTTTTTACATATATAATATATTTTGTATTTATTTCTGTTAATGGTTTTACTCGTTCACTATCTCTTTAAAAAGCAGGGCTCCACCTTTTGCCTGTTTCACATCAAAATAAAGGGTTACACTTTTAGGGTAAGATGTAGTTTTACAGAACCCTAATGCGTCACGGTGCATTCTCAGATGGACCTATCCGGACTTCTTCAGCCGTTACAGAGTACTGATGAAGAAATCAGACTTGGTTGTAGCCGACAAAAAGGTTTCTTGCAAAAACCTCCTTGAAACATTAATAAAGGTAAATTACAGACATGCCACACACACACACACTGCTTTGTACATAGCATAGGGAAATATCAAGAGTTGTGTGACGAAAGATAAAATAACTGTTCTTTTGCCAGGAGCCTGACATGTTTCAGTTTGGCAAGAGTAAAATCTTCTTTCGCGCTGGACAAGTTGCTTATCTGGAGAAACTTAGAGCAGACAAATTCCGTGCGGCATGTATCAAGATCCAGAAGACGGTGCGCGGGTGGCTACAGCGACTGCGGTACACAAAGATTCGCAAATCAGTCATCCTCCTTCAGAGATATGGACGTGGATACTTGGCTCGACGGTAAGTGAAAAAACTGCTTAATTATGATCTCATTCATGACGTAATTCCAACTCTATTTGTTTAGGTATGCAGAGTATTTGCGGCTCACACGTGCTACAATTATCTGCCAGAAACAGTATCGCATGGTGAGGGAAAGACGAGCTTATTTGAGGGTGAGGAAGGCTGTGGTCACTATTCAAGCCTATACAAGAGGCATGTACACACGACGAATCTTCAAAGAGGTGAGGAGAGAATCACATTGTTGATTATTGTTATTTTTTTCAATTTCACTCCTGTTTTCAGCTCATCAGTGGATACAGCACTTACTATTAAACGCACCTTAATCCTCACCAGCCACATTTTAACCCTTGTGCTATCCTCGAGTGATTTAAAAAATACCATAAATATTTTTTCTAGCTGAATTTTGATGACTTTTCCTAGCTTGATCAGTCCTTGGTAATTTAGACCCTAATTTTTTTACTTCTACTTTTAATCACTATAGCGGGTCAAATTGACCCGAGGATTGCGCAAGGGTTAAAATTGAATTTTATCCACATATGGGCCACACTTGAATGGAAGCTCCGGTTTTTAATGTTGTAATGTAACACTTAACCAAAACAAAGCTGATAGATGACTGTTTTAACTTGTCACATCATGATCTAATTCAATCTGTTACAATACAATCTACTTTGACATTAACATTTCTCCTAAAGCTTGATGGAGAATGAATAATAAGTCCATAAACCGCGCTCTAACTATAGCCATAATCATGTAAAAACCTGTGTAGTAGTCCTTGCACTTCCTCGTCTTGCTGTTCACATAAACACAAAGGGGAAGTAGGAATGTGTATCACGTCATCAGCTCTGGAGATCAACTGCTGATAGAACAAATACCCGCCTGCACCCCAGGTGGTGCTCTAAAAAATAAATATACACATGAGCTACATCACTGTATAAGCTGCTACTTATAACTGGGAATAAGTAGTGGCTTATATAGTGCGTAAATTACAGTACTCTTTTCTAATGCCTCTCTTTTCTCTTCTTCAGTTCATGATGCACCACAAGGCCATGATAATCCAGAAACATGTCCGCGGCTGGCTGCAGAGAAAGAAGTTCTTACGTGCTCGCAATGCTGCTATCACTATACAATGTGCAGTGCGGCGCTTTAGAGCAAAGAAGCAACTTAAGCAACTCAAGATTGATGCCAAATCAGCTCAACATTTGCAGAATCTCAACTCTGGGATGGAAAATAAAATTATCCAGCTACGGAGAAAAATGGACGAACAGGTAAAACATGAACAGAAAATCAGCATTTGGAAACGGTTAAATAACGTTGTCTTTTGTGATCCCTTTTTAGTCCAAAGATTACAAAGAGCATAACGAGCAGCTTTTCACAGCTAACACATTGCTGAGCACAGAGGTGACAAAACTTCACAAGGAGCTGGAACATGTCAGGAACCAAAAAGGCGACAGCAGCGAAGTGATGTCTCTGCAGGAGCAACTGGAGCGACTGAGGGCGGAGCTGCAGGAGGCTCATGTGCAGAGAACCAAGCTCCAGGAGGAATACAGCACTGAGAAACAGGGACTGGAGCAGGTGAGAGCAGGGACCTGTTCTATCTGTTAAAAACCAACACTGTTCTTTTAAAATTGTTTTTAGCTTTAAAGTCATTTAACTAGATCCGCAAGTCTCACAATTTCCACACAAAGATAATACTTTGTCGTCATTTATTCCTATTTGGCATTCCAAGTACCCCTGGTTAAAAGAAAATGTACAAGTTAAGAGAAACAGGTCTTGAATAAGATAACCGGTACTTCAAAAATATTATTATTGTCCAGAAAGAAGACAAAAATGTGTAAGAAATCCACAAATATAAATGAATAATATATTGTGCAACCAGTACTTTTGGGTAGTACTTATAAATTATCAGTTGCGATTTGCTCTGTAAGCATCACGTCAGCCTGCAGGCTTTGTGTTGCGCTTTCTGAAATCATGACATAGTACAGTAATGACAATATGAATTTTGTTTAAAAAATCCTGGATCTCGGCAGTATCAATAATAACTTGCATACTTTTCCAAGCTTTACTGAAAATGTTCTTTAACATTTTGTTCAATGCAAACAACTACAGTATATTGATCTCAAACAACTTTTACATTCATAACGCTGCAAAAATGGCTCTTCTGTAGAGTTTTTGTACGATAGAAAATAATGTAATAATTTTTTTATAGAAATCTTTTAACATAAAAAATATTTACATGCCTCCACATTTGCTGCTACTCTGCATGATTCACCTTTCTATAATCTCTCTAAGTACAGTTAAAGAGAGACTGACAATACAGGAGACCGATAAGTTTAAATACATATTAAAGATGACATGGCTTCGTAAACACCAAAAAATTATATATTTTCTCTTGTTTGCAGCTTGCTCTAGATTCAATGTTTGTTTTTCGTCTTTAGAGAGTTGAGGAGTTGGAGAAGGAAAACACGATGTTGAAGCGTGAAAAGGAGAACATGAACCAGAGGATTTTGCAGCAGTCAAAGAGCAGTGAAGGTAAGGAGCCGCACAGTGAAGGTTTGTCCCTTGTACAAAAGCTCCTCTATTTATAAAGATCACAGTCCAGACTCATCAGGTTTCAGGCAGTGCTTCTATTGTGAAAACTATTACGTGAGATCCATTGATGTTGTTATAGTGCTTTTAAAATCACAACAGACACCACACATGTTGAACGAGAAAAACAATCACAGAGGACATATCCCCCTAGTGGAGAAAACCCTCAATAATAACATTCAAGTTAACGTTAAATAATGATCAGAACTACTTTAATATTATTTGTGTTGAATGTGTTAACTTGAAGAATCTCAGAATACTTGCAACGTTTTTGAGAGCCCAAAAAAAAACATGTTCAATCACTGTCCCTGTCACTGGAGAGGCAGACCATAAACTAGCTGAAGCCAATTTCCTATATGGGCATTTGTTCCGATGGTGTTAGCTTCACGCCGTAAAGTCCTCCGAGAAAATTACTGTTGTGATTTAGGGTGGATAAATTGAATTGAATGGAAAAGGGTCAGACCTGATGCTAAGATGTTTGCTAAGGCAAGGTCTATCCTCAAATCTTACAGTCTATGATCATATCGAAGACAATATCAAAATAAATACCCCAGGATTATAGAGAGCGCTAAACATCCAACATTCTCTGGCAACCAGCCAGAGAAGTTTACATTTCAATGTAAGGCAAAAGGAGCTAAACTTCATTGAGCTAGAGGGTTAGCTTTGTCCATTTTTATACAGTTTAGTTCTATGGTTGGGTCTAAGCAAGGTTGTCATTGAGAATACTAATGTAGTGTATACTAGTGTATTCTCAATTGGTCTACTAGTTAAACTATAAAGAATTATAGGAACAGGACTGCTTACTTTTGCTGCTACTTTAACAAAGATGTGTGTTGTTCATTTATCCAGAGGTGGAAAGCAACAGAGACAACATGCTGCAGTCGGAGCTCGACGCAGAAAGGCAGCGGTACCAGAACCTCGTGAAGGAATATTCAAGACTGGAACAGAGATACGACAACCTCAAAGAGGAGACATCACTGCAAAAGGTTTATTCTAAAGCAACCGTTTTCCTTTGGCCTTCTAATCCGTGCGTAACAAACACAATCACATAATTTCATCTGCTGACTCTATGCTCTTGTTTCAGTTTCACCCGGGCCACAGGAGGAACCCGTCCAATCAGAGCAGCTTAGAGTCCGACAGTAATTACCCGTCTATCTCCACCTCTGAAGTTGGCGACACAGAAGAAGTCATTCAACAGATGGAGGTAGGCTTTCCGCAATTCAGAAATGAACGTGGACGCAGATAAGAGCGACCTTGTGTGTCTGCGCAGGACATGGGGATAGAAAAGGCAGCGATGGACATCAGCCTCTTCATGAAGCTTCAGAAACGAGTGCGCGAGCTGGAGCAGGAGAGGAAGAGACTGCAGACTAATGTTGACAAGATGGAGGAACTTAACAGGAACAAGGTGAACACTGAGCCACATTACTGTATCATACATTTATAACTTCATTATCGTATTTTTTGTTTTTTTTATTGTGTCAAAAGAGCTCTGATCCAAGAAGCCCAACAACAGATCGGGAAAATGCTGATCTGGCCTATAACAACCTGAAGGTACAAATAAGTGCAATGAGTGAATGAATGAATCCATAACAAGGTTGCAGCATTATCCATATTTTTATTAGATTTTTTATGTATTTATTTTTTCATTGTATTAATTGATTCAAGCAGAAATACTTCCACTCATACATTTGTCATTTGTTCGCCTACACATGGATAGATAGATTTATAAATACAAAGGCAATAATTAACATTTTCACCATGTGTCAATATATTTACAAATATATTTACATCTTTAATTATTAGCTTGAAATGGAGTGGGAAGAGGGAAATATTGTATACAATAAAGTACATGTAGGAAAGAACAATATGAACACACATTGGGGGAAAAAACTAATAAATTACAATAACAATCCTTGGACTCAGAGTCTGACGGGTTCTGACTTTCACCTGTAGGGGGCGACACATGACTTTATATTTACACGTCATCCTTTCCATTACAAATATCTTCAACTACAGTGATAATTATTAGGACAACTGGTGCACATTTGTACACATAGACTCATACACGCGTGCACACACACAGACTCACACACACACACAGACTCATATGCACACACACAGACTTAGACGCACATACACAAACACACGCACACACACACATGTACACACGCACAGACTCGCACAGACTTAGGAAAAGATGTGTGCCTTTTCATTTGTACCAATTCATATCAAGATTTCTTATTTTTGCTGCTGCAGAGACAAGAGTTGGAGTCTGAGAACAAGAAACTGAAGAATGACCTGAACGAGTTGCGGAAGACTATAGCAGAGAAGGCCTCACAAAACAACTCTCCGAACGAGCTGCAGGACGGCTACAACGTGCTGCTGAGTCAGTTGAAGTCCGCTACCGAGGAGCTGGATGCCAGGAAGGAGGAGGTGCTCATCCTCCGCACACAGATTGTCAGTAACGCACAACAGCTGGAAAAGAATGGTCTCATTGTGAGTTTCCACAGATCATTGTTTTGCAAAGATGTATATATATTTTCAATAAAGTTACCTGTCCACGTCCAACAGGAGTGCAGCGAAAAGCCGGACCTGAACAGTAAACCGCCTATTGACAAAGAGGAGGCCATGAAAGCCTATCAGGGACTGTGTGAGTCTAAAAAGTAAGTGCTCAAACTGAAATTCAGTACTAGAAGTAATAGTTGTGTAGTTAAGTTTGCGCTCTGATCACTAATATCTCTGCTTTCTTCTGAATGCTCACTCATGATGCTTTAATAATTATTGTATCTGCTGTTGCTGTCTTTTCTTGCTTCTTTGCTGGGACTTCAGTAATGCTCAGGACTGGTGTTATTTGAATGAAGATGGGGAGCTCGGTTTGGCTTATCAGGGCCTAAAGCAAGTGGCAAGGTCTCTGCTGTTAGCTTTTGATTGCAATTCTTTGCTGTGCACTTCTTCTCCTTCTTTGGACTTTTTTATTACCGTTGATATTATTACTACCCATAATTACATAATTACTTCTTCATACATAAACCTACATTTCTGAATTGTTGCTTGTCCCCTGTGTGAAAAACTTTGCTTGGTACTATTGCCTTGTCTCATCTAAATGTGGTCTTCCAGACTCCTGGAGGCTCAGCTCCAGTCTCAGTCCAGGCAGCACAAAGATGAACTGGAGGCTCTTCACACTCAGATCGAGTTGCTAAAGGACGACATTGAGAAGAAACAGGAAATGCTGAACTACACCATGTCTCTGTCTCCTGAGGCACAGGTGGAGTACAGCGTCCAACAAGAAATCACGCGTCTCACCAATGACAACCTGGTGAGGTCATCGCGCTCGTCCCAGGACACAGTGCACTGAATAGTCTGTAAGACACACCTGTTATTGTGTGGTCTCTCCTGTTGTTGCAGGATCTCAAAGAGCTGGTGGAAAAGCTGGAAAAGAACGAAAAGAAGCTGAAAAAGCAACTGAGGATCTACATGAAGAAAGTCCAGGAGCTTGAAGGTAAGACGCATATTAAAATGAAGTCTTGAACAGGAGTTAATGTGTATGTGTGTGTGTGTGTGTGCTGCTGTACAGCTTTGCAGGCGGCTCAGGCGAGCAGAGCGAAGCCAGAACTTAGTCGGCAGGTGACCGTGCAGAGGAAAGAAAAGGACTTTGAAGGAATGCTGGAGTTTAGCAAAGATGATGCACCTCTTCTGGTCAAGTCTCTCATTACTGGTGAGGAGCTGTGAATACTTTCACCATTTAGTCTTTTGTTTCAGCTGTTCAATGTTTCAACTGTTGATATTTGCAGACATCAGTCCCAGCGTAGTGGCGGCCACAGTTCCCTGTTTGCCAGCGTACATCCTCTTCATGTGCATTCGTCACGCAGATTACATCAATGACGACCAGAAAGTGGAGTCCCTGCTCACTTCCACCATTAATGCCATCAAGAAAGTTCTGAAGGTAGACAATAGTTTATGTATTCTATTTTTGTGTGTTGAGGGGCCTTCGTTATGTTCTAAAAAAAAAAAAAATATTGTAAGAATGTAAAACCCCTCGCCTCAAACTTTATACACTTTTCTGCCCAGTGATACCGCAGTGTATTTTAGCAGCATGGTGACCCATGTCGTATTTTCTTATATTACAGAAAAATAATGATGATTTTGAAATGACATCCTTTTGGCTGGCCAACACGAGTCGCCTCCTCCATTGTTTGAAACAGTACAGTGGTGACGAGGTGAGTGGGAGGAGGATTAACAAAATGTATCTCACGTTCACATTTTGATGATTTTGTCTGTTATTGTCCAGGCTTTCATGACGCAGAATTCTCCAAAACAGAATGAGCATTGTTTGAAAAACTTTGACCTGGCTGAGTACAGGCAGGTGCTGAGCGACCTGTCGATTCAGATCTACCAGCAGCTCATCAAAGTGGCAGAGAGCATTATTCAGCCTATGATCGGTGGGTTTCCTGTTCCCAAAAAGTGTATTGAAGGCATTCAGACTGTTTTACCGTCCTTGCTTATTTACGTTCAGTGTCGGCCATGTTGGAAAGTGAAAGCATCCCGAGTCTGGCAGCGGTGAAGCCAACAGGATACAGGAACCGCTCTTCCAGCATGGACAACGACGGCAGTGGCCCCAGCAGCTACACACTGGACGCACTGATCCGGCAGCTGGGTCAGTTCAACAGCATCATGGGAGACCACGGCCTGGACCCGGAGATCGCCGAGCAGGTCGTGCGGCAGCTGTTCAACTGCATCAACGCCTTCACCCTCAACAACCTGCTGCTGCGCAAAGACGTGTGCTCCTGGAGCACGGGCATGCAGCTCAGGTACAGCCTGCAGAGAGTGAGGCCTCGTTCACAATGTTAGAAATGAGAACTGAGCTGTCAATCCTCTATGTGAGGTTTGTCTCTCATAGCGCTCAGTGTAGCAGGTGGGAAATGTCCTGTGTATTCACACTGCAGCGGAGGCGCCGGTCAGCCAATCAGGTCACAGCGCTCCCTAACATTCAGCACCCAAGATTAAGATTAGGATTAGGAGATTTATTCATCCCACAGTGGGGAAATTTCAGTGTTGCATCACAGGTTACAGAATAGTAGGAATGAGGAGCACACAGTACCAGATACATTAATATTAATACATATATAGATAACTCTATGCTAAAATAAAATAAAATCTGTAACTCTAGCATAAAAAGAACCAAAAAAGGGTCTGGTCAGACAGTGATGGGAGACCTCTGGGAACACCAGGTGCCACAGTGAGACGGCAGAGGCTGCAATGTGCCAAACTGTTGTGTAGTCCTTAAGCCTGGTTCACACGGCAGGATATTTAGGCCGATTTAGACCCGATTTACCCCTTACGACAATCTTAAGAAACGCTCCGATTTCCGTAACAAAATCTTACAGATTATCCTGCCGTGTGTGGTGTGTTAAGGGGATATCCAACATGTTGGATTGTTTTGGCCCGATTTCTTGTCGTGTGTGGTGTCCTCCGAGGACAAGCGAGCGCGTTGCCATGACTACGGCGTGTAGCCAATAAGAAGACGAGGTGACAAGCCGGTGAGGAAACACCGGAAAAAAACCAAAACACAGCAGCATGGCTTTGACCATTGCCTTTTCTTTGGATTACGTCTCTTCTCTGTTAACAACAAACTGCACACTATCGCCACTGCATCCTCTTCGTCCGCCATGACTGTTTACTCTGAAGTCACGCTTGATCTCGAGAGATTTTGTGAGATTTCCGTCTGACCTGGGAATGCTCGGGGGGGGGGGGGGGTGTCGGTTCGTGTGTGATGTTTGTGGCTTGCGTGATCTTGCCGTGTGGCTACGCACCACACACTGCACGACCAAAGTGGTTAGACGCAGGATTTTTAATCTCCCCGTGTGGGGTCTAACACGGAGAAAAATCGGCCGACAATTTTAAAATCGTCTCGTGTGAACCAGCCTTAAGGCAAGACCCAGATTGTACAGAGCGAATTCATAATACTGTGAAGTATTGTAAGTTTTATCCATTGTTATTACAACAGTCCGTAGATTCTACTGCATTCTGAATGGGGCCTAACTTAACAAATTAATGTAACTCGCTGCTCTGCCAAAGTGGCCTTATGCAGTCATACATTTTAAACACATTGTCACATGTGCCCTAATATTGATTTAGTTCTGTAGAGCCATGTGCTAATGCTGTGATCTGCAGGTATAACACCAGCCAGATGGAGGAGTGGCTCAGAGCAAACAACCTGTACCAGAGTAAAGCTGCTGCTACGCTGGAGCCCATCATTCAGGCCGCTCAGCTGCTGCAGGTTAAGAAGAAAACATCACAGGATGCCGAGGCAATCTGTTCCCTCTGCACGGCCCTGACCTCACAGCAGGTTCATAAAGATAAACCTTTTAACAGATCTTATGAAAACAGCTGCATATTGTAACAAAATGATATTGTGTTTGCAGATTGTAAAGATCCTGAACCTCTACACACCACTGAATGAGTTTGAAGAAAGGGTCACTGTGTCGTTCATCCGTAATATCCAGGTAAAACTTTTAACTCACTGAAGATCTGTGCTCATTACACATTTCTGCTTCTAATCGTGCGATAATCGACTGTGTGCAGAGTCGCCTACAGGAGAGGAACGACCCCCAGCAGCTCCTGGTGGACACCAAGCACATTTTCCCTGTTCTCTTCCCGTACACGCCGTCTGCACTGAGCCTGGACTCACTGCACATCCCTGCATCCCTCGGCCTGGACTTCATCAACAGAGTCTGAGCAGGTTTCTACAGTGGACACTGAAGGAAAAAAGACACATGTGATTTATGCTCCTGTGGAGTAGAACAACCATACGTTTACGTTTACATGACTAGGTAAGTTCAGTGCTGTTGAGGGAAAGGTTTCTTTTGCCTGGTCACAGTTGGACTGTTGGGAAAGGTGAAAGTCAGAGAAGGAAATTAGTTTTCTAATGGGTTAATGTTGGAATGAAAGTTGTATGTTTGATTATGACAGTTTGAGTGTGTTTGGAAACCATTGCCAATTATCATCAAAAAAATCTAAATTATGATTTACCTTTTTCTTTTAATTGTTTTGCCTTATTCAAGATACCGATCACATACATTTGTGACTTTTGTTCCTGTTTTTTATGATGCCACATATCCGATTGACTGCCTCCTTAAAACCCTTGATTGCGCCCACTGCTGGCATGTTTTAGAATTGCTGCACAAGGTTTGTCTTTGTTTTTGCCTATTGAAGACGAGCACGTATGATACTGTTGTTGTACAATTAGAATCTTTTATATATATATATATATATTTATGAATTAACCCCTAACATTCAACAGTAGTTTTCTGTACGTGAATGCCTTTTTTCTATCCAGTTTTGGATTTATGTTCTATAAAAATATTGAATTTCTTCAGTAATAACATTTGATTGAATTATGTATTTACTTGAAAAATCTAATGCTGAGAAAGATGTTTTTAATGATTACTTGTGTCGCGCTGCCATCTCTGTCCTAACCTTTGACTCTTATGCAGTGGAATCTGCAGCTACTTTAAACATGTAAAATAAAGTACAGATTCTTGATTGGTTTTATAGAGTGCATCATGGGAGTTTTACACTTAACCCCACTTTGCCAGAAGCCCCCGCTGAAAGATCTCAGCTCCTGTGGACTCACCACCTGCAGGATGAGGGGCTGGTGTCCTGTGTACTGGTGCAGCTCTGATGTATTATTATTATTATTATTATAGTATTAGTGTGAGTTAAAAGTATATTTACTAGGATATAATTTTCCACTGATAAAATACAAGCTTTTGTTAGTAAACGAGTAAAATGTTTTTTGTTGATTAATTGAAGGTTCATATATTTGAGACATTTTAAGAGTTTACTTTGTAGAAATGTTAAATCCTTTATTCTTCACAGATTGGGGAAATTTTAGTGTTGCATCACAAGTTACAGAACAGTAGGAATGAGGAGCACACAACACAAGTGAATATTAAGTATACTGTATAAAGTATACTGCCTCAGAATGACTGCACTGTTAATCACAATGAACTCATTAATTTAGAAGCATGGCTAACTGCTTCAAAATTGTTTTTACATTATTTCACCATCTGCAAAGTAAAACGTTGTCAGAAGCACAAGTTGTTAAGTAGTTTTTCTTGAAATCAGGACTTAAGTAAAAACACTGTAACAAGTAGTGTCACCAGCTTGACTCCAGTGCGGTACATTTATTGTCATTTTGATGTTAAATAAAATGCACTTAAAAAATAAATTTGTGCCCAACTCTAGCTCTTTTTATGTTGGAAAATTGAAAATTTTTTGAAAAAAAAAAAACTACTCGTAGCTTCAGACATAACTGCATCGATCACAGAGAGTAGATATGGAGTGTGATTCCCAGAGACAGAGCCGTTTGCTCAGGTGGCAGCAGGACCTCCACGGCCACAAACAGAAACTGAGACTGTGGCTTTGTGCTCTGTCTGCGAGCGGCATGGGGCACCAGAGAGCGAGAATTTCATGTTTCAGGAAAGGTTTCCACATTTGTATATAATGTTTTTTTGTTTTTTTTTACAGTACATATAAAAAAAACAAAAAACTATCTGTGTGGTATCCTGACGGGCCATATCTTGCACTATTAGGTGCACCTGTTCATAGGCCGCACCAGCAACACTATAAGAAAGTACTTTTTGTCTACATAAAGGCCTCACTTGAATATAATCCACAGGTTTTCATGTTGTAATGAAGCAGATAGACTCCTGTTTTAACTGGTCACGACGGGATTTAATGGCGAGGTGTTAAACTGTTAGCTTCCATGCCTCTACTCATTCACTAATCTATTTTTCATAATATTCAAGTGTCCTATAGCTATCAAAACTTGATGGGAGTCGAAATAATAAGTACATAAACTCTGCTCAGCCCATCTCTACACAAAAAAAAAACAAATTGGCCGCATCTCCATGTAAATGTACACTTTATTGTCCCTGTAAAGAAATTTGTCCTCTGCATTTGACCCATCCTGATGCGACTAAGTCTTACATCAGGAGCAGTGGTTGCCGTAGTAACAGCGCCTGGGGACCCATCTCCAGATGTTGATAATCGGCTTGGTCAGTTCTACCGCAGCTAAGGATTGGACCTATTGTGCATATTGCTTGTGGCAGGGGAAACCGGAGCACCCGGAGGAAACCTAAGCAGACATGGGGAGAACATGCAAACTCCACTCAGAAAGGCACGGATCTGATTTCACCACCAGACAAGGCCTTTCTGTGTGACGTTTGCATGTTCTCCCTCTGTCTGTGTAGGTTTCCTGCGGGTGCTCCGGTTTCCCCTTCCACTAAAAACATGGACAATAGGTTTAAATGTAATGAGAGGGTGAGTAGATGGTGACGGTCGGAGGTTTCAATGCACCGGAGTGTTGGACGTCTCTCCTGTCATCACAGCGTGTGGAGGGAAAATACTGACGCACAAACATTGCGTGTGAGTCTGAGGTCACATTTGTGTGATGGTGTTGTGTGTGTGTTGTGTATTTCAGAGTCTAAGGCTTAGACTCTGAAATACATCTAAATAAATATCTTTTGTTGGTCAACCTTAGTTACTTCATAAATAAATGGAAAACTAATTAGACCAGATGCTCATTAAAGTCTGTGTGGAGTTATTTTTAAAGTATGAATATAAATAATGACTCAAGGAAGTGGATGTGGTGTCAAGTCATTTCTGAAGCACTTGCAAAACTTGCAACACTGTTATTGAGAAATTGAGTCAGTTTAGCGTTCTTAAGATACTGTTTTACTTAGATGCTGATTTGATAGATTGGGCTGAAAAAGACGAGCACACAGACGCTCCGGGCCCCTTCTTATTGTTGGAGCCAGAAAACACTTTGAAGCTGCAGTCATTTACTTTGCTCACAGTCGTCATGAGGGTTAAAGATGTGGTTTGAGACGCCTCTGACATAAATAGATGCTTCACACACACATATATGTTTAGATATGGTTAGTAAGTATATCCTGAGTCTGCTTTTAACAAGGGCCTAATGCACTTCCTGCTAACGCAATACTTAATTTACTGAAGTGTTAACACTTTATACTTACATTATACTTATCCTACAATGTTGCAGCACACATACACAGTAACAGGACACTTAATAGCACACTTAATATACAATATTAGTAGCTGCTGTTTCTTAGCTAGCAACATAATGTTTACTTATCTTTGCTGTTATTTTTTTTAACCAATTCTAGCACTTAATAAAATTGAGTAAAGGTAAATTACTAACTAATACCTCTGTCAAAAAACTAAATATTTTTGGGGCAATTTCTTAGAATCCCATTGGTTTGAATGAGAGCAGTCAAAGTGACGGCTCTGGGAGTTCTAGTAGTCTCATGATTGTGGGAGTCCTAGTGTTAAGTTATATGATTTCCCATTTCTGCTGCAGCCTCTGAATAATTACAGTCTGTGAGAGACACAACCTCGTGCGGACTAAAGTTGATCAAAACATTGTTGTATTAGAGTTTTTACAGTGTACACACTTTTCCAAGGCAAAATAATGCGAGCTATTATTTCAATACACAAGTAACATTTCTACGCTCGTATACAGGTGTGCAAAACATACAATTTATAGTTATAAAATAAAACAGTCATATTTTACTTTCACTCCACAATGGTCTGTCACTTAAAGGAGCAATATGTAAAAAATCTGGCCAAAAGTGGTACTGCAGTCAAAGTCAATATTTTGTAGTCCTCTCCCTGACTCAGGTTGCCAGATACACACCAAATCCAGCAGCAAACACAGGGAATTATTTTATCAGTTGTTTGTCTGTCTCCATTCACATTGCCATGACAGCCGTGCTAATGTTGATTGAATGTTTTGATTAATTTGTATGTTTTTTGAATGTTTTTTTTGTTATTATTATTTGGACATTTGAGATAAAAAAACAAAACAAAATAAAAGCAATGTAATTATACATAGATTATGCAAAATAAATAAGCAATTGATCCAAAATAGGAGTGGGAAGAATGGATGTTGGAACATATATCTTCAGCGTATCAAAATCAGGGTTTCAGAGGATATCACCCTTCGATTTTATTTATTCCCCATATAAACATTATTTTAATTGGGTACATGTGATCTCAAATGATTATTTTTACAACTAAGCTATAATCTGCAAAAAACATCATGATCATAGTTTTTGACCGTTTTTTGAGCGATCTGTCAAATGTGATAATATGCAATTGAATTCTAAGGAACTCTCCCCAGACTCGGGTCGCCGGGGTACAAGTGTAACGGCCTTACCACTACAACATCATCACGCACGATAGCAGATATTGGATGCAGAATTGGGTCCAAGCAGCAAGTTTTGCATCACACGAAAAGTTTTATCCGCCGTCTCAATTTTTCAAAGGCGTCCCGATATAAATCCTCGTTTTAGTCTTTGTTTTGTCATTAATGATTTGAGATTCATAACAAGACCTTTTTTAGTTCTGCGGCCACAAATTATTTAACCAGTGAGATTTGCCGCGCGGAGTTCTGGCAACCCGATCACAGACTTTCATGGGACTTTCTGATTCGCGAAGCGGCGGAGGGCAGGCTGCCAAAATTAAAACAATAACAACTTTTACGGGTCGTAAAACTAATTTTGATAATCAAATATCTCGGCTGAACTACTGTTATCGATTAAAGATGTATTCGAAAAGAGCATGACTTAATAATGCCTTTTGAAACTTTTTAATGATGACTTGACATCAAATATTACATATTGCTACTTTAAAATGGCTTTAAAATATGTCTCTATGTTTATCATCAGAATCATTTTTATTGCCACGTAAGTAACAGGAAGTCACAGACTTGGAAATTGCTTTGGCTCAGTGCAACAGTCAGAAAGAGAGGTAAGGGTAGAGAAGGCATAATCAAATATTAAAAATAAAAGAACTTCTAAGGAATAAATATTAAATAGAGGTACAATTACAATGGTTTATGGTTTCAATGAGAAAATAGTTGGAAAACTTTCATGGGATGTGAATGCTTTTTTAGGGCGAGCCAAAAAAAAGTGATTATTTTGTCTGTTGTGAGAAAAGGATTCTTGATCCATTGTGGAGAGTTGGAATGAGAGAACGCGATTCCTTCATTCCCCCTTCTCTAAAAGAAAAACAAGAACTCCTTATACATATATTTAAAGCTATACTGTATTTCTAAGTGATGGTGCCAGTCTGACACATTCACCAAGAGAATTACTTTGAGAGTTTGCATTAAGTGAATCAGTTCTGCAACATGCATAAACAAGACTGTTCTCTGTGAGTGAACCACAAGTGTCACCCACACATTCGCCTGATTCCCTCTGCGGCCTGCTCCCACCCACGGGTGCCTCTCTGCCGCTCCTACAAGCTGCTTAGCTCAAGGATTCTGTCCACAACAAACAGGTGCAGCTAAACTTGTAACAACAGTTAAACCACAACTCTTAAAATTAATGTGGTTAAAATATGTGTCATTCTAATTATAATAAAAGTCTGTTTATATAATTGTACACAATAGTCTATGTTTGTGTTTTTCAACCAGTGGGCCTTGGCATGGTGTTGGAAATGATCCAATATCTCTATTAGTGAAACCTCATTGTTAACGAGGAAAAAAATACTATTCAAGGCACGTTGAGGAGAATTACTTTACATTGTTATTAAAGGCTAGAGTTTGTACCTCATGATTCTGTTCAATGAACGACTCAAAAAGGTTGGTGAACAGTGGTCTATAAAGAATGTAAACATTTATTATGGGTTGCCTATGGTGTGACAGTATTGGTGTTACTGCAGTAAAACAATATATGTATATATCCCTGGAACAACAATGTGGCTGCAGTTCCCACACAGCTCATGATAAACACTGTGGACCCAAAGCAAAGTAGATCACTCAATACAGGAAGTGGTTTGAAAGCACCGGTTCAGATCAGATGATGATTGTTGATGAGAGGAGTACATGAAGTACTTTTAACCCTATCATGATAAGACAGTACGACCATAGAGTTTTCATTATTGCAAGGGGGGGGAGTTTTGATTTTGCTGAAAGCTAAATCAAAACTTGATTTAGCTTTCAGCATGTATGTGGCCATACACTTAACAATGACAAAGTTTCTAAAATTAGACCCCTAGCCAATGTAATTTGGAAAATGCAAAAACAAATTACAGATGTATATCAAGACTAAGGAACCTGGTTAAAAGCCGCAAATCACACCAGGATGATTACTGACAAAGCATGAGCTGTACCTCACACACAATCATATAAGTTTTAAGAACAATGGAAATCCAAATGATTATCAATGCAAAACCTCTGTCTAGTGCTGTCCCTCAAAACAGAAATGATTGAATAGCAATATACCACATATATTGTAAACATCCGGTGAGATTCTGGTTTCCTGTGCAAGTCCCCGCCCATGTCCCCTGTGAGGGCCCCATAAGTCAGAGCAGGTGAAGCTCAGACAGCTGCTGGAGGATGCTGCTGCTGTGGACTGTGATGCTGTCAGCCAGGACAGCGGCTCAGAGCGGAGACACGGACTTGGGGATGGGTGAGGACACATGGGATCAACTTTGAGAAAAATCCTAATATCTAATCATCAACAAAAAATAATGAGTATATTTACAATACAAGGCCTGTATAAATATGCAATGAATAACTGAACTGTAGTTTGGTTATAGTTCAAATTTGATGTTGATTGCTAGCATTACAAACTTCAAACACAGGATTATTTGTCTGCTAACACTGAACCCTTTGCTTGTGCCCAGTGCCAACACTGCACTGCTTGTCCCATATCAGTCTGTTTGAAGGCACTAACATTAGCTGCAGTCTCGTCTCCAGCAGCGACAGTCAGGAGGACGATGAGGATGAAGATTCTGACAGCATTGAGAGCATAACAGCTTGGTAAATATTTCTGCAACTCTATTGTTGAGTGAGGCACAGATGAATGAATTTGAATGAAAAGGTATTTTATAGCCAATAGAAATTATAATAATAATAGGACTTTTGTTTCTATAAGCTTTAAGTTAATTTTATCATCTTTAGTAAGACCATGTTCTCCTTGTGTTAGGGTTAGTCTTGCTACTTTACTGTAGTTTAGTATTGCACAAACTCCATTTCTACAATTGCAATATTTTTTGACAAAATAAAATGTCAATGGCTTAATCAATATTTCTCTGCAAAGACAAAACTAGGGCTAGATAAATACTGAGCAGATTAAACTGTTTATAACTAGAGCTGCAACTAACGATTATTTTGTAATCGATTAATCTATCGATTATTTTTACGATTAATCGAGTAATCGCTTGGCTGTGAAGTGTGTAGAAAAAAAATATTTTTTCATCACAAAAAGCTAAAGTGGCAACACTCGAGGACGTATTGATGGCGTAAACTTAAATTAAATGTTTGTAACAGGCTCTTTGTGCTAATTCTGCTATCTGATTGGATGAGAGACAGATATTCATGAAATTATAAAAACAAAGTCGGTTTTAATCAAAAATACTACATTTTCATGTCATTTTTGCTCTTTTTGAGTCTGTGTGAACCAGAAAACAATTAATCGATTACTAAAATAGTTGTCGACTATTTCAATAATCGATTAGTCGTTTCAGCCCTATTTATAACCCAGAAATAAACTTGTCAAATACATTAGATGAAGAAACAAAAAGTTAGGGTTGGGTTTAGGGTCAAAGGGTGAGACAGTGTCATAGAGTACATACAATCTATGGTAGATATACTGTTCCGTGTGACTTCCAGCCCCATTAAACATTAACTTCATGTTATTATGATGCTGTTGTTGTTGTTGCAGTTGTTGTAGTGAATTGGGAAATGACAGAAAGAAGTGTGTGAAGGCGTTTGGAGACACTGTGAGCTCCAAAGATCTGAATTCTGTGTCCCCCGTTACTCTGACGGCTGAGTCCAGAACAGGACACCTCCTCAAGACAAAACTTGATCTAAGGAAAATAAGTGCGTTATATTCTATTCAACATGCGGAACATAATGGTGTTTTTGTCTCATTGTTCTTTTGTGCTTTTCCTGCAGTCAAACCAAAGAGTCCATGGGTGTATAATGTTACATTCCCAGACAATGCTCTTGTTCATGTCCAAACGCCGTACAAGAATGATTACCTCAATGAGGAGAACCAGCTCTTTCAGATTCAGCTCTGGAGTGAAAAGACTAACCTGGTACAAACCTCATCTTAATCAGTAGCACACACACATACACGCACACACACACACACATACACGCGCACACCTTATTTTACTTTTCTGCTTTATACGAGTCTGCCATCTGTCTGCAAAGTGGGGTAATTTCTGGTCTCACTTCTCAAAGAGCTGAGGCCTCTACATCCACCCATAACTTATGACAGAGAAGATAATAATAATAATAATGCATCGGTTTTATATAGCGCTTTTTTGGACACTCAAAGACGCTTCACATGTGTCATTATTCGTTCACTCCATACACGGTGGTGATAAACTACTACTGTAGCCACAGCTGCCCTGGGGCACACTGACAGAAGCGAGGCAACCAGTATATGCCATCGGCCCCTCCGACCACCACCAACCATTCACACGCACACCAGACTCATTCTAGGCAATGGGGGTGAAGTGTCTTGCCTAAGGACACAACAGCAGTTTGGCACTTTACAGCCGTAGCCGCCCCACTGTGGCATCAGGTGTTCCCAGAGGTTAAGTGTCTTGCCAAGGACACAACGGCAGGAGACATCAGTGGGAATCGGTGGAGAAGGTCTTGTGGTGGGCTCGAACCCATGACCTTTTGGCTCAAAGGCCAATGCTCTACCAACTGAGCTACTGTCGAATAAACCCTTGTGAAAATATTGCCCCGTGACAGAGCAAATAGGATGTAGTATTGACATCTCCTTTAATGCCTTTACTGTGGAACAATCAGAGCACAATTGACTCAAACTATAGACGTCCCGCCTGACGTCACGCAATTTGGAGCAGCCATCTTGACGGAATAGAAAATGCAAAATGGCTGGTGATACTACACGTCGTTGCAAAATTTTCCTATCATGCCGGAGCGATGCTCTGCAGTTGGATGCGACAAGATACATGATCAGACAAAATGAATATCTTTAAACCGTATCCCAAAAGAAAAAAACAGAGAAACAAGTGGTTGGCGGCAATAAACAGGCAAAACGCTATCAACATTAGCTCAGCTAGCATCAGTCACGACTAAGGCTTTGACTTTTGCACAAAAATCATATTCAAAGTTTGTTTGTTTATTAATTTAAATATTAAAAAATATTCGAATATATAATTATAATTTATTCAACGGCTCCTCAAAGCTAGCTGTTACTTCTGTCTGTACAGAGAAGCTAGCCGGGCTAGCCCACTCTCAATAAACAGATACCTATCAATCAATCAACACCATTAAATGTTAATCAGAGAATACATTATACATATACAACCTTAACACACATGCACGGAGGTTTTCAGAATTATTTGTTCATGTTTTCATGACAAAAATACAAGAACAACGAGCTTTCAGTGCCTGTCACTACTTGTCTGTGCAAGAGAAGCAAGCCAAGCTAGCCACTCTCAATAAACAAATACCAATCAATCAATCAACACCATTAAATGTTAATCAGAGAATACAGTATACATATACATCTGATTATGGATTTAGGTTTGGTATATAAATGGGTAACTCACCGCTGATGTTCAGTTTTATTTTAATGTAGTTCCAGAGAGTTTTTGAACTAGCTAGCTTAGCTCCATTGCTGCGGAGTCCGCGCACGGATTCCGTCAAAATGGCTGACACGCGGCTATGGGTCATGTGACTGGGAGATAAGACCAGAAGAAAGGCCTGAACATGACACAAACACCTTCTTCTTCTTCTTCTTCTTCTGGTGCAGACACAGAACACGACATCAGTGTCCATGAACATCGACTGGAGCCACCTGAGCAGGGGGACGCAGTACTATGTAAAAGTACGAGCTGCGCCACGGGGGTACTTCAGGGGCACGTGGAGTGAGTGGAGCGAGACCTACTCCTTTAAAACACCCTCTGGTATGATTTCACACTAACAAGACATGTGTAAATAATGCTGCCAAAACAAAGTTGTTCTAACCCAGTGATAAAGTTTTACACATTAATGTTATGCAAATTAGTGCTTTCCAATATTTCAGAATACAGTACTAGTATTTTATGACTAAACTCCGGAAAATATTTTACAATCCAGCTATACCAGATCTGCACTTTTATTTTATTTTTATATATTTTCTTTCTGTGTTATTACATGTCCCCACTGGTGCTCCATTGAATTGAATTGAATTGAATTGACACTTAGCTAATACCTGAACACAGCAAAACTTTAAATCTCTTTGGATTAGCCTCATAATGTGTCATTACGTTTTGCAGCAGATAAATCCTCAACAGAAAACATATCATCTTTGTGGAGCCTTGTCCTAGTTGTTGTTCTTGTGGTCGGGTCGTTCATGTTGAAGACTCGGTAATCTGAATCTCAATTAAAACTTGGTTGTGAACTGCACAGCCCTATTTAAGTTGTGTATTTACCCCTCTCATAGAGCCTGCATGTGCCCAAGCATACCACAGCCAAAAGAAACTATAATGCAAATATGTAGACCAAGCAATGTGAGTATTAAGAGCACACAGCATGACCCGGTTGTAGCGACAGTACACAATAAAACATCCTGCCTCATCCAGGGCCTTCCACTGATCTTCAAACCAGACGAGTCCAGTTCATTAAACGTCTACTCCATCGTCAACACGTCGACTAAACCGTCCTGCAACGAGAAAGAGTCTGTGTTATCTTCAGCTGGACCGCCCCAAAGCAAGGCCCAGACCCCCCCTGAGGTCCAGCCTCTGCAGCAGCCGGACCCAACACAAGAGACTTCTTCAGGAGACCCCCACAGCACACAGCCCGAGAGGGAAGACTCCTACGTCACCATGTCCGGTTTCTATCAGATCAAAACCGGGGCAGGTCACACAACATTTGCCACAAGTCGCAGTGCAACTTAATCTCTGTTTAGGAAGTCTGTTGTTTTTTTGTGGAAAAGATGAAACTCCTAGACTCAACCATAAATATCTATATTATCAATCATACATATTATATACAAACGTTTTATCGTCTTTATTGTTTGTTAATGTAACCGACCAATAAGGATATGTAACATCATCTTTTTGCTGCTTTGTTAAACCGTGGAAACCTAATTTTATGTTTTTTTTCTGGGGCCTTACTCTACTCTTACTCTACAATTCCAGGACCATAATACTAAACACATCGCTGCTTCAACTACAGTATTTTCTATGTTGCACTTCCGTCTATGAACAGTTATGAAACAAATCAGCAGTACACTTTGCAGCAAATGGTTTATTTACTTGTGTATTATTATGTTAATATTCACAGACAAAATATTTTATTCATATATAGTTTATAATTATTACAGTCATAACAAACAACATTGTAAGCTTTTCAGAATAAAGCGCATTGTTACATATTTTCTGTCTTGTGAGTCTGTATCAAAGTGAAAAAGAGTTATGTTATTGCATCATTGCAGGATTGTTTCACATACATCATTGGATCTTGATCATATGTGTTCTCTTCAAAACATGTTTACTATGAGATCACTTTTCACAGACCTGTACCAATAAAAAAATGTATAGATAGCTGTTGATATGCGAAAAATAACACAAATCTTGAATATATTTAGCTATAGCTATGATCCTATAATTACACTTTAGGAAAATACATATACAGTATAAAACATATAGACTACGAATGGATTTAGATAGTGTTACATAAACTATGGCAAACACAGAAAACTGAACCGTTGAGTTCAAAGTCTCCATGCATTTCTCATCATCAGGATGAAGTAGACGTCACTGTCAATGGAAGCACTCACCCCCGAGTAGTAACTGAAGAACTCGTCTTTGGTCACCTGCAAAGACACAACATATTTGAATGTGTTTTCAAGACACTTTGTTAAAGGAAAAACTACAGAACATGCCAGACTATGAGCCACTACTTGTTAAAACTTGAATTTTGCGGCCTACATAGCGTTGCAGCCTATGTATGTACATTTTTTGTTTGTTTTGTTAGCAGGCCACCAGAGCACAGGAGAACATTTGGACACAGATGCAGCACACATTCCTGCTTCTTATGTGTTTATGTGAACAGAGTGAGTCGAGGCAGGGAAGGGATAAATACAGAACTTGTTTTGCTGTGATTAGAGCTATTGCCAAAACCAATTTTATGGACTTATGTATTATTTTGACTTTAAGTAGGAATGGGACACAGGTTTTTTTTGTCAAAACAGACTGGGTTTACCAGAGGGCGTTGATCATCACAAGTAAACAGTGCTTTAAACAATCAGGCTTTGTCCAATTTAAACAGTTGTCTATCAGCTTTGTTTTGCTCCATCAGCTGTTGGTTAAGTATTACATTACAGCATTAAAACCTGCGGCTTATATTCAAGTGTGGCCTATATGTGGATAAAAATTACTTTTTAAAGAATGTCGCTTGTGCTATCTAATAGTCTAGTAAGTACTGTAAATAAGAAATTTCTCTAGTTAATTATCATATAAAAACCCACCACCAAGAGCAAGACATCAAATAGAAATCTTTTGCGAACAGAAATCCCCAGTCCTTTGTACCACAGAAAAACAAAGCAGTCGAAGCCCCAAACTACAGATTGTGCCCAGATCCACTCCCTGCTATGTGCTACAATGTCTGTTTACCGTATTGGGTGGAAAAGTCAAATTTTCCAGGCATTTTTCATCATCACAATAAAGTAGACATCTGTATCAATGGAAGCACTCACACCAGAATAATAATTCATAAACTCTTCCTGGGTCACCTTCACGACAGATACAGAATCATTGCAGTAACAGATAATTAACATGGCAACAGGTTTCGAATTACATGGTATATATAATAGATAACACACAATTTCAGTTTTCTTTGGATCATATTCATTTCAAACTCTTACCTTTCCATCCTTCTCATAAGGGGAGTCAAAGCTGTCCAGAAACGTCCGAAAAACCTCGTCCTCCGTCCACTCCCCGTTCTGATATTTGGGGTGGTACTTAGCGTTGTACACACCTCTGAGGTCCTCCACAGTTATCACCCCATCTCCAGTCTTGTCCAGCTTCCGAAACGCCTCCATGACAACTTGTTTTCTGGCCTTTGACATGGGTGGCTGTGGGGACAAGATTAATAATATTTTTACCGCAAGGCCATTTAGGGAGCCTTCACACTTCTTAGTCTGTAATAATAACATGTAATCATCTGCTTATTTACCCTGAGAGTAATGAGAAATTCATCAAAGTCAATGGTTCCACTGCCGTCTCTGTCAAACTGTTGAAAAAGTGCGGTGGCCTCTTCCTTTTCCATCAAAACTCCATAGTCGTTCAGGCCCTTTATAAACTCTTTCAAGTCCAGGCTGCGGTTGCTGTTGTCATCCATGATTTTGAAGGTTCTGGACATTAAAAAGTTTGAAAGTAACTTATAAATTACTGGAGATTGGCCTGATCTTGTTGCTTGATATGTTCTTGGCCCGATTTAGGGTGTGGTAACACTTGTAGAGGTCTGGGTGCACATTCAGAGCCAAAAATGCCAGTCATTATGCTGTCGCTCACCAGTGAAGTGTCTGAGGTGACTTTTAGTGGACCAGGGTGCAGTGTTTGATGCTTTCACCTCTACACAAATATTTCCCCCAAATTGCATCAGAGTCCACTTCAGTTGGACTAAGCGTGAATGCACCCACAGTCCTAGTTTTGTGTCATTTTACCTTCTATTAGTTTTAGTTCAGATATGGTACTGTGGAATCTAACCTCCATGTTTTGGTTTCAGGAATATTCAAGAAATCAGATTGAAGGAATTTATGAGACCTCGATCCTATCAATATTGTTTAGACTAGTTTTAATATCTCAAGGATGCACACAACCAGTCATAAGAAGTCCAACTCCATTAAAGGTCTCAACCAGGACAAGGAAAAACTCTAGTAGTGTTAAGTCCAGAGAGACATAAATATGGATTGGTTGTTGGGGATTTTGACACTTTCACTACTTCTGTAAATATATTTTTTCTACTTATGTTATATTTTAATAATATTTGCTCAGGATTGGCAGAAAGGACTATGTATACAATCTCCAGAACAAAGCGGTCCTGCACAAACTACTCACACAGTTACACTATTCACTGTTTGAAGTATATGTTTGTATCTTTCTTACCTGCCAAGACCCTTGATGCCAGAGGAGCCTCTCGTGAGACACTGTAGTCTTAGTCTCTCCACGGGGTCAGAGCACCCTGCCAGCTGCTTTTTGGCGTTTATAGCCATCTCTCGATCATGTCTAGCGGTGCCTGCCATAGTCTGTGTGGAGACAATTAAAACAGGTAAATGGACGCAACCAAAATGCTCACCCACTCAGGGATCAGTCAAGATTATGGTCACTATGTTAAATGTTTTTGGACAGACTATATAGACCAAACCCTTTTAAGCTGTAAGGTGATGTTTGCAGGAAGGCTATGTTATGTAAACTTATGCATGTTTGCTGTATCCTGTTATGTTTGCATTCAATGATGAGATGCTCAGAGAACATGGCTTTTACCTCACCCACCTCCACCCACTGAGCTACATTTTCCTGCAATAATATAGGGAATATAGCACTTATAAGTATTCATAAGAAGATAAAGTGCTACAGAGGACATTATAGTTACTTTATTTATCCCACACAGGGACATTCCAGATAGAGGCAAAACAGGCAAGAGACATTTACAGAAAATCTAATCTAAACCCAGAATGAACTCCCCCTTTAACACTACACAAATGACTATGATAAGACCACCATTTATTTAAACAAGCACATTTTAAAACAACAGCACAGTCTGCTTTGGATAAGAATGATTAAGGAAGTTAAAGAAGTAAGGTAGCTTTGGACAGCTAGTGCTGGTTAGGAATTTGTGTTTGTTTCTATTTGTTAGCTAACTAGATAGTAACGTATTTTACAAGCCACGTTTTGTATTTCTGTAGCTAACATAACATCTAACGATTTATCAAAACGCACCTGTTGGTAGATCGGGTGTAAATGTCCTTATAAGCGAAAGTCCGGAAAACCAGCCCCCCCTTACCCCGCGGTTACCATGGAGACGGCTTTGTTTACTTTAAAATTGCCGCCATCTTGTGAGTGGAATATAGATAAGGATATAAATTTGAACATATTTGTGATCACCAAAGCACTTGACGCTACAATATCTTAGGCAAGGCATGCCAAGTTTATTGTATAGCACAAATCAAACTTCATCTTCACCTTGAAAACTCATTAACGTGCGCTGAAATGTTGTATTGTCTTGTCTTTTATTAAATGACATCAACAAACACACATAACAAATATTTTTCTTCGAGAGGATATTATTATATTATCAAACACAATAAATATTAATGATACATCCACATTATCAACACTTCATCTTTAACATTACACAATCCTGTATCACATAAAAGAAAGAGGTGAAGAGTGCAATACAAAGGCGTTCTGAGGAGTGACCAACAGAGTAATTACCGTACAATATAAATTAATTTAGACGCAATTCTGAACTGACCCATTGATTCGTGTATATATACAAAAGATAAATTGTACAATAACACAATTATATACAAACAGGAGAGTCCTGTAACATAGTTTTAGTTTAGGGACCATCTTAAATACATCTGAAATAACCGCTAATCAAATAATATAAATTAAAATGTCTCATTGACCTTAAACTACTCAACAAGTAGTGATTAAACATAACATATAAATGTCTTCCACACCAAGAGGAGATGTGTGTACTATAAAAGTCAATTACAAAAGTATGTTAATGGCACTTTTTGATTTTATAATTCCAACAGTGACAAAAACAGCGTGAAAAATAATAATAATTTGTTTGTTTTTTTCCATCATCCATATAGCCTGTTTATCTGTAACATATTTTCTCTGCAATTAGGCAACTATAAGCAAATAATCATACTAGTCTCTGCGTCGCTTTTTCCGATACGGCCATACGCTGCAGGTATTAAAAGTACAAAGACGTGCATGCACTTTGTCAATCTGGTATCGATGGTGGAGTGCCCACGATGAGTGATCTGAATCATGCTTTTTTTCAGTAATGGAACACATTGTAGCTGAAACTTCCCAATTCCTATTTAGAGTGCAGGTATTCTCTGAACATCTATAGAAATGATGTAACCTGAGGCGCAGCACTGAAATACATTCTCTTTACTCGGGCGTCTCCTCAGTGAGGCAGATGTGCACAGCTTCAGGATTCACTTCCATCAGACATCATCAAAGATCCTGTTACGGGAGGACGACATGGACAGATACCTGCCCCCAATGTGCCTTAAATAACAAAACACACATTTTAATATATTGAACCAGTGTGCATGTTATTGAGAATATCAAAAATGTTACCTTCCAGTGTCAGTATCCATGGTGTCTTCTGTTAAAGAATCTGCGTTAAAATCTAAAGGCTCTGCATCCTGAAGCAGTTCGACGCAGTCCTTCTCTGGCCGATTAGTGCTTCGTGAATACTTTGCCTCTATTGAAAGCAATAATGTTTTCAGCACTCTAAATTACCACTTTTGCACTCATTAATAGTTCATATATAGTTGACTTACGCCTGTTTGTGCTTGGGTTCACAGCATCTGAATAGTTGGTTTCCTTCATTTCGTGGCTGCCTCTGTTTCTTGCTGTGATCTCTTGTCTTGGATTTCCATAGCGCTCTTTCCATTCCTGCAACAAAGTGTGTTTTAGTAGTTGGTATTGGTTGGTCATTATCATTTCCCAGACAGAAGGTGTCATTATCAATATCTTTTCAAATCTTATGAAGGTTGTTAAATAAATATGTATTAGTAGGTGAGATAAACATTCAGCATAACTCTCCCAGACATTGTAATATTGTCCACTCCAGTCCAGTCCTGTCCTGTCCAATCTGGTCCCAGTTTAACCAAGCCTGCCTAGGTTTCTGCAATTGGGTGACTATTCCATGGGTTTCAGAATAATGAGGATCGTTGCCATAGTGATTAACAATTCAAAACAAAGAGTTATATCTTTTAAATGAAATTTTGCATGACATTGAAACCCATGAAAATACAATATTGATATTGGCTTAATATATAAATGTTCTTGTGAATAACACTTAAACTTACTCTTCGCCTGTTCTCGCCATCTTCAATTCTTTGTCGCTTTCTTTTCTCTGTATAAAAAGGAAAGCTGTTAAGAGGAAGAAAAACCTGTTTGTCTTCTTTAGAATTAGGACTACACATCTTACCTCTCCTAATTAGCTCTTTACCCTCGTCAATCAAGTCAGACGTCATTTCACAGTCGCCCATGAACTGCTGAAAGCCGAGAAGATTCAGACAGCGCGTTCCCAGACTAAAATAGAGAACAAAACATCAATCATGCGTGTTATGTAGTAATTGCACTTTAAAAAGGCACGTTACCTGAAGTACGTAGCAATGCAGAGAATCAAAATCAACATGGGATAATAGATATAGAATCCATTAGCAATAAACGATAGAACTCGCATGGATCCCATAATCTGTGAGACGAAATCAAGATCAAAAAGGGAAACATTTCACATTGTCTGGCCCATGCTGCGATGGCTTACTGTGGTGTATGCAGTCTGTTCTTTCTGCTGATGTGAGATTGCAGAATCCATGTGAATTAATCCAAGAAAATTGAGGCACAGGGGAGGTGTTAAACGGCAAAACAACCTGCAACAGGAGTTTATAAGGGAATCATAGTTTGGATCAGCTTAAAGTTTGTATTGACAAAAGTGACAATGGCTCTTACATCCCACTAAACTGAAGGCTGTAGGCGTCTGTCTGATGATGTGGAGCCAGGTAATAGTAATTAAAAACTCGAATACGAAACACAGTCGAGTAAACGCAGATGCAGAGGAAGAAAATTGTGAGGAAACACGCCATCTAGTGGACAAGAAAACATGTGTTGTTTAAAACAAGGAACGCAAAGAAAATGCACACTTCATGAATCCATAAGTACCTCAATGTACAAGTAATTATAGTCTTTTTCGGCCAGCTGGATAAACACAGCAAAGAGTGAAAGGACAGGCCGGGTGCTGAAGAAAGTGCACTCGGACCAAACCACAGCCACACTGAACATAGTCAAGATGACTGACAGCAGCTTATAAAACCACTGCTTCAGAAAACACTCCCAGTACCATTCTAGAAAAATTGAATAAAAAACAAGATTGAAAGACAAAGAGAAATTGCTTAATTATTGATGGCTATAACACAACTTACCAACTGTTGGTGTGTAAATATAACGGCTAAACCATCCAGTTGGCTCTGCGGAGGGAAAACTGTGAACAAACTGGTGTGTAGAACTAGTTTCATTCTTGGCAACGTCTTCCCAATGGATGGCTTGCTGCAAAAGGATTTCCCACTGTACACGTGTCCTGTTGTGTCTTTGCACCGCATATATCACCTGGATAAAAATAGAATTATATAAACACCACAAAAATAAAACAAAAAGAAGATTAATGGTTATTGCATTACCCCATTCAAATAGTCTTTTAGTCTTTTATTTTATTTCGGTCACTTGTGCATTTTACACATCGTCAGGATAGTAAATTACAGCAGAAACAAAGACCGAAAAGGAGTAGGCTGAAGCTAATGCTTATATTGCCTACCCTTTTTACAGGTGTCATTAGTATAAGTGGATGTAAACAATAGCATTTAAATTAGCAACTATATCAACATCAGAAATCTGAGTTCAGGTAGCCATCCAAAATGATAGTTTTAAACATCCTTCTAAAGTGGTACAGTGAATTGCAGGTTTTAAGTTTGTTTGTGCATCCCTTCCAGAGATCAACCCCTCTAATAGACAAACAGCTTTTCATTACATTAGTTCTACATTTTTGTTTTTTGAACATGTCTGTTCCTCTCAGTTCATAATGACTGTTGCCCCATATCTCAATACAATATGTAATATAGGGCATTACTAATGAGTTATATATAATAAGTAGACTCTTTTTATTTAAGATATATCTGTATTTATATATTATTGCTATTACTTTAGACTTACTTACTTTAGTTTACTTCCAACTGAGCACATGGTCTATAGTCACTCCCAGGAACTTGTTCTCATAGACTCGTTCCAGGGGAGTGTTATTTAGATCGATTTCAACGTGGTTTGAAATGTTCCGCTTTGCAAATATTATATATTTAGTTTTCCCAATATTTAGTGATAATTTGTTGATATCAAACCAGAGTTTAATTTTATGCAATTCCACCTCCACCAATTTTATGAGCTGATTTATGTCATCACCTGCACAATGAAGAGTAGTATCATCCGCAAACAGGACATAATCCAGTGCTTTTGAAACTGTAACTAAATCATTAATGTAAATAATAAAAAGTTTTGGCCCAAGCGTTGATCCCTGAGGGATACCACAGGTAATATTTATTAGTTCTGATTTTTTATTATATATCTCAACATATTAATACCTACAAAACCGATTGGGATCGGTTTTGTAGGTAGCTTTGTATCCATGAATGTGATAGTCCTCGAAGTCCATATTTTTCTAATTTCTGTAATAGAATGTTGTGATCTATAGTATCAAAAGCTTTCTTAAGGTCAATGAAGACACCCACACTGTATTTCTTTGAATCTACTGATTTTGATATATTTTCTACCAGCTCCATAACTGGTAACAATCATAATTAAATTGCCCTTTCACCTGTTTATGAAGTTTTACAAGACTCTTCTCGCTGGGGTATGTGTTTTGTTTGTCATCAAAATCTTCATAGTCATCGTTGTTTCTCCCCATTTTCTCCTGATAGTCGACAGGGCACTGTGACAGACAAAAGATATCAGCCTTGTTCAGTCAGGAGATTGTGATGACGAAAGGCACTTACTTTTCTTAGAATTGTGTCAACACTTTTTCTCAGTGGATGATTGTACTTAATTGATTCGCTCACTTTTCTCACCTCCTAAAATTAATACAAACCTGAAATGTTAGGTTTTTGCAACAGAACAAATGTAACCACCCACAACAGTCCTTATGATGCACCTCCATAACATCCTCAAGATTTTCCTCTGCATCAGCTTTTTCCGTCATTAGTTTGGATGCCTTAAAATATGTTTTGATGAGCATGTGTCCATGTCTAGATGCATTCCAGTAAGAACGTGGAATTTCTACCAATCCATATCCAAGCAACAACACCAGAAGAAACAAGCCCCAAGTGTTGGCAGCCGTGATACCAATGGTCTGCAACTCATACCTGAGGATGTCAAACGTGAAGATGATAAATATCTTTTAAACTGAGATAAACATTATAAAACAATATTTACCAGGAAAGATGCCAATGTGGGTGAACAGCAACATATATAAGCAGTGAGCCAAATATAAGCAAATAGGTCCCATAATAGATTGCGTTTTCAATAAGGGCAGTTTTAATTTTTCCAGTAATTGAAAAGCCTCCAGATCGAGCATATGACTGCATGAATGGCAAGAGCAACCTAAAGGCACAAACACAATGTGTTAGATACAGTTCACTAGTACCGGTAATGTTAAAAAAGTTTAATTGACTGACCATGTCAGACACTGTGATGTCCAATACACCACTCTCCAAAACACAGGCATAATTCCATCGGGAATATAACTCCATGGTTTATAGCATGGTTTTCGCGGGCTGTAACAGATACAAAAAGGATTATGTGAATAAATAAGTTAATAGCAGTTATATACAGTATTATGAGGACAATCGATTATGCATTAATATAGGCACTATATCAAGTAGTATAGGACCACTCCTGTGTGTGTGTGTGAACGATTGTAGTGTCTTTGAGACCATACTGCAGGGTTTGTGATTGATCACATAAGTTTTGATTTCGAAAGGATCTTATGGTTGGCTGAAATTGGAGCACCAGTAGTACACAGCAAGAGACATGTCATGTACAGTGTATTCTTGCACATACATCACCGAACATGGCACAAACCTTGTAGTTGATGTGACGGATGAATTTCTTGTTGTATTGGTAAGCGGAAATTGACGAACCGTTGGATCTGAGGCAATCTCATGATCAATAACACATTGTTTGTAGATTGTCTGAAGGACATTTAGACACACAAGTATAACAACACTGGAAATTCTAAATGTATACTATGTTCTATCTGAAATATACACTAACCGTGCTGACATCCAATGGTAAAATGAAGACAATTAGAAAACACAGATACCAGGCAAGAAGTGTGCCAAATAATACCATACGCTGTTGCTTCCGGAAGTCCCCATACCGATGTAGCAGGAACAAAGCCAGAAAAAACACTACCACAATTTCAATACCCAAAGCTGCTCCACTCATCTTTTGGACTGAAGGATTCTTGAAAGAATCCTAAGAAAGAAGGACAAAATCAAACAGAATCTTTAGTTTTCTGCTGTCTAGACATGTGCAGATGTTGGCAGAACATGGGACATAAAATTATACATAATATATATTATTAAAGCTAGATGAAAATGTTAGCATCCTTGCAAACAGCAAAGACACGACACGCCCCTGTAAACACAAATTATGAATCCTCCCCTTGTCATATGAATTCAACTCATTCTAGCGTTATGACATTTAGTTGACAGTTTATTTTTAGGATGGAGACACACATAACAAATCGTGGCACTGGGACACACAAACCCACGTATACAGTTAGCTCGCTGAGACAGCTGCTTTATCAGTAATAACACTAAGCTAGCTAACGTTAGCTTACATCACACAGCTATTTTGGGTTGCTTCATTAAAATGTTGTTACTCACACTTTCGCTATGAAACAACAGTCTGATAGGTCAATCCCTCATGTCAAGATAATAAGCATTTAGTGTTTATAACACATTCGCCTTCCACGACACATCCTGGTTTTCCAGGGAAACGTCACTGATAATCGCGCATGCGCAGACACGACAAAACGTTCCCCTGAAACCGCCTGAAACGGATGCGGCCAACAGATCCTTTCAGTCGAAAAACACCAGAGAAAACACTACATCCGTGAGAAAAACGCGCAAAGTTAATTTCTCTCATTGAAAACCTCCTTTTAAAAGTGCACGATGGAACATTTCGGATGGGCTACTAGCAAGTATGGAGGACTGCCAAAATAATAATTATAAATAATAATAACATAATAATAATAACGAAATTTAGCAAATACTGAAATAAATTATATTGTTAATATGTTTTTTTATTATTATCATTGTTATTATTATTATTATTATTTGTTTTAACATCTGCAATGAGTATCATGAGTTTCTTCAGCCCTTATATAGACCCGTCCTGATCTAAGCCTCTAGTCTCTGGATGTTGTGGGACTGTCTTGGCTGACATGTCTTTGCAACATTGCGTACTTTGGGTGACCCTGTTCTAACCATAGACTGTAAATAACAACCCAAAGCACTGCTGCCCCTGTGACCCGGCAATGGATAAAGCAGAAGAAGATGGAATGGTATTCAGCCCATGCAACCTCTCTGACTGGGGTTACTATTCCATCAGAGCCTTGTTCTCTCAGCTCTGGTTCCCCAGTTCTCCACCTGACCCAGACCTTGTTTGGGTGATGCACCGCTATCTCATGGGTTTCATTGGCACACATAATAGTATGAGGTATGAACATGAAGAGTCCCACTCTGGATGCTGTAATTGATTATTACATCCCAAAGGTAAAGGTCAAAATGGAGACACCTCCAAAGGTTATTGAGAATCACCAAGCCAAGATCCTGAGACTTTCAGATAACGACTGTCAGAAGGGTAATGACAAACCTGCCGGCCAGCTGTTTTGGTTGACATAGCCATGCCAAATGATAGCCACATCCAGAAAGGAACAGGAGAAACCAGAAATACCAGAGGCTCAGAGGAGAGTTTGCCGTAGTGCCTAGTCTTTCCATTTCTATATTCCCAGATTATGGATAATCACTGCAGCAAGTTGTGAGCATGTGACAATCATTATGGAAATTTCAAAGGGAATGAAAATCTGTATGAAAACCTGTCAAAGCTTACAAAACTCAAAATTGGCAAGTATCATTTTGATTTTATTGTTGTATATATTTGTATATGTATTTAGGCCAACATTTAACAAAGATGGTAATCATCCTGCTTTAAAAATATTCTTCTGGGACCTATTGCCTATTTCAAAATGTTCAAACAGAAGCTTTGGCCCCCAAAACATGTCAAAATGTGCACATCTGATTGATTTTTGTTATTAATGTTTCACCCAGTCTTGCTGTAACATTTAACACGAGCCCGTTTGTTTTGAGCATATACAGTCCCATGGGGCAGATCTTATCTGAAATGTGTAATTAACCCAGTCCTCTTGGACTTCTTCATTGCAGTCTATGCAGCTTTAACCCCAAAATCAATCAGCAACAGCTGAGTCAGGGTCTGAAGAGCCTATTTTTATTTTTGAATTGAATTTGCAGACATATAATAGATAGCCTTCATAGAAGTTGATGTTTGCTCAGGGGATACCAGGTTCCTTTAGTATAGTGCTCCTTTTGTCTTTCGTGACATGTACATTTCTCCTATGTGAGATAAATAAAGCACATCTTTAGATTACGCCAAAAATCATACAAGACTTTACAGTTGTTGTCCTATTGAATGTGGTTTTCGCATTTATTTTTCTGGTATGTCAAGTAAGAACTGTTTGAACCACAGGCTACAATTGTAAATTTAATACAAACAAATACTCCATAATTGATATATTTACCTTTTCTGCCACTTAATCACATTGTACACATAATGTTTACAAATAGAGAACTTTTATCCAAATGGCATGGGCGTTTTCTGGAACAGTTTAAAAACCCAATGCCCACAGAAAAGTTGTAGTCTGCATCCTTTCACATAAAGAACAACAGTACGTAACTGCCTGCTTGTGTACAAGTTTCTCCATGGCCTTGTACCGAAGTACATAGTGCCATATGTACAAACTCGGACTCAGAGGAGCACAGGGACTGACCTCCTGCTCGTGCCCAGAGTCACGACTACACATGGGGACTCAGCATTTTAGATTTATACAGCTACAACGTGAGTCAGGCTTACGCTGACTTTGAGTACAGGATAAAAACAGTTCTGTTTGGCTGTGCGTACAACTGGAAGATTTGATCTAAACTCTAATTGTTATGTAATAATTATATTTTTAACTGTACAGAGCAGTGTTAGGCACACCTCTGATCTCTGGAGGCATTGGAGAAGCTGTCTTTATAGAATTATGTAAATATTGAATGTTTGTGTGTTTTTTTTGTATCTTTTGTTTTATATGTTTTTTATGGACCCTTTGTGTGTCTGAATTAAAGATTAAATAATAAAATATATATATATATTATTATTATAATGTTTATGTTTATTTGTAACATTGTAATGTTTCTTTTCATTTTTCTTTGTATTTATGAATAAACTTGCCTTGCCATTCTGGAGGAAAAGCATATTTTTCGTAATTCCATGACAATACTAGGATACAAAAATACAAATTTTGCGCTTTTGTTTTTGTCCCATTCATCATGGGCGACAGTAGCTCAGTTGGTAGAGCCTTTAGGCTGGAAGGTGGCGGGTTCAAGCCCACCTCTTGGGCAAGACACTTAACCCCAGATTGCCTGAAGTTCCTGCTGAAACACCAAGGCTGTGGCACCACTAAAGTAGCAGCCATAGCTTCCTGTGGACCCACCACCTGCAGAGGATCAGAGGGACTGGTGCTATGAGCTTTGGGGCAGCTCTTATTGCCACCCCCCGACCCAGAAAATGAACTTAAATCAACATAAAACTATACAACTCTGTATACATGCACAATAGAACCGTCTCTATCAGGTATTGGGTTTGCTTTCCGTTATCTGAATTTTATGGAAGCTAACTAACGATGCTGTAGGTCGGGTCAGGAACAGTCGATATGGTTGAGGATTAGGGTAAGAAAAGAGTCAGGGTTAGGCTAACGGGACGAAATACCAAGATTTCAGAGAGTCCCTTCACTGGTGGATAAATAAATTTCACTTGGCTTCCTCGTTTGAATGGACATGTTGTGTGTCTTAGTTCTTTTGGAACCACCTGTGCTGTTTCTGGTTAGCTACAATTTGTTCTATTTGTGAGCCTTGCTAATTAACTTTTTTTTCCCACATCTAGTCTGCTATTATTAACAAACAGGGTTCTTTTTGTTGTGATTGTGAAGATATTGAACCTGTCACGATACAACAATCTTGACCAATTTACAATTTATCATTCTGAAAAACTGTTTCAATGTTCAAACTTCAAAGTCTTAACATGTATTTGGCCTCTATTGAAAAGTGAAACAAATGTGAGATTTCATAACACTTTTAAGCAACTTTTGTTAAAGTTAAACTCATCATTCTATCAATGTGCAGAAGTAAGTAAGTAGTAAGTAATCTTTATTTATATACCGCCTTTTCACTGCAGATCTGAGTCTCAAAGCGGTTTACAATTGTTAATTTTGGGCATTTGTCCTCTCACTCCACACAGAGATGGGAGCGGGGTCGCCTGTACAGGAGGCACATGCCAGACCTATTGTACATATTTTTAGTGGTAGGGGAAACCGGAGTACCCGGAGGAAACCTACGCAGACACGGGGAGAACATGCAAACTCCACTCAGAAAGGCCCTGGTCCGACTGGGATTCGAACCCAGGACCTTCTTGCTGAGAGGCGAGAGTGCTATCCACTCTGCCACCGTGCCGCCACCGTACAGAAGCCAGTACTTTTCCCTTGTTTTGTCTATCTGAAGGCCAAGCTACAAGCACACCGTGGAAGCTGCTGATTGGAGGTCTCCATGTCTCCGCTCTGTATAATACACTTGCATTCTCTTGTATCTGTGTTCGTGCTGTCTCTACCATTGACAATAAAACATGTCTTCTGTCTGAATTAAAGACGCGATCCCAGACTTTGTCATCTTCTTCAGGTGGTGGAAGGATGCGGGCCTTGTCTGTAACATCTAGAGAACAGAAGACTTTTTTTTTTTTTTTTTACACAAAAAGTTTTTTTTTTTAAGCCAAAACTGAGAAACCTCAAGAGAATGCATCTGGACCAGCACACTTGGACAATCTGCACAGCCCCTGATTCCAGTCAGGCTGTGAGCTGCTGAGACATGGACAATACCATCGTCCTCTTTTGCATGGACACCATTTGGAAAAATTGGATTACACAATTTGGACATCATTTGGAACAATCTGGATTTCTGAATTTGGACATAATTTGGACTGAATTGGATTGCTGAATCTGGACACTGAAGCTGAAACGTGTGATTGAAAGACACGTCACAGAAGAATTCATGGCTCGACACAAATGCAGCCTGAAGAAATCAACACGGAGAAGTGGGAGAGACTGTTTTCAAAGCAATATCTGGAACCACCATCGACTGATGAAGTTTTGTATTTTACTGAAGATTGTTGACAAGTTTTATGAAAGATCTGAACATGTTTTATGAGTTTTATGAGTTTTTGAAGTATTCCGAGTTCTGAGTTTTTTGAAGTACCGAGTGAAGTACCGAGTTTAAGTATTGAGTTATGATGTTATGTTGCTGTTTATCGATCCTGATGGTCACACGTGAATGTATGACCAGAGGGGGGAATGTGAGATTTTATAACACTTTTAAGCAACTTTTGTTAAAGTTAAACTCATCAATCTATCAATGTGCAGAAGCCAGTACTTTTCCCTTGTTTTGTCTATCTGAAGGCCAAGCTACATGGCACCGTGGCAGCTGCTGATTGGAGGTCTCCATGCCTCCGCTCTGTATAATACACTTGCATTCTATTGTTTCTGTGATCGTGTGTTTTGTTCGTGCTGTCTCTACCATCGACAATAAAACATGTCTTCTGTCGGAATGAAAGACACGATCCCAGACTTTGTCATCTTCTTCACAAACAAATAAGAAATTAATGAAAACATAGATTGTTTATAGTAATATAGCAGACCTTTCATTTTGGTTTCTTGTTATTCATTTTATTCTATTTATCGTTATTCTTGACAATGTTACATGCGTGATCAATTAATTTACTTTGACTGAATTTGACTATTTTGATAATAACAAATCAGCTTATGGCACACAGGTCTGTTGTGTTATATGGTGAGGGGCAGTTTTGACAATAATTTTTCATTTAGTTTAGTAAATGAGTATTTTGATTAAAATAATGTTTAATTTAAAAAATTTAAAAAAAACATGGAGCTGTTGTTCAGTGTTTGGAAACATTTCATTCTCTATGAACAAACAAAATACTGCAGCGTGAGCCGATTGAAAATGAAAATACGGCTGGAATATCCTCATGTGTCCTTCAGAGGCTGCTCCCGCAAATTTTCAACTCAACAAATCAACTGATTTGTTGACGAAAAAGCAGTTTGTTTCGTCAACATTTAAGTCATCAGTAAGTGCTTTATTCAGTTTCTGTTTTATCTTTGTCCACAAAACGGTTTTTGACAAAATATTTTCGTCATAGTTTTTGTCAACAAAATGAACATTGGTGGTGGGGGGCCTTCTGACCTGAGGGCCCTGTGTAGTTACCTACCTTCATAGACATATATATATATATATATATATATATATATATATATATATATATATATATATATATATATATATATATATATATATATATAATAGACGCCGCATTGGTTGCTCGGGCACGAGAAATACGGCCGCCATCTTGGACCGGTCATCATACAGCGCGATGCCTGAACACTGTGCGGCGTATGGCTGTCAAAATAGGCGGACTATTCAAAACAGGGCTCATGGGATTACTTTTCACAAGTAAGATTTAACATTATTATTGGTTGTACTAGTTTGTTAATGGAATATTACTGAATTGTATTTATGTCACCAACGAAATCAGATACAGAACATCTATTGAATAGCAAACAAGCTAATTTACAGCAGCTTTGGTTCATTATCAAAATGCGAGTTTTGTTGAAGAGATGTTCTATAGTTGAGGGAGGAAAATGGGAAGAAGTAATTGGGAATAATAGGAATTATGGTAATATATTTTTTGTTGTTGTTGTTTTATTCATGTATTTACATTGTGAAGGTTTCCCAGAGACAGAAATGGTAGGAAGAAGTGGGAAGTGGCTATGAGGAGGGAAGGATTCACTGCAAGTGATTCATCCGTGCTTTGCAGTGAGCATTTTAAGCAGGAAAATTTGGACAGGACAGGTCAGATTATCCGACTCAGAGATGGTGTTGTTCCATCCATCTTCAGCTTCCCGGTTCATCTCCAAAGAGTAGGTAAGGCTGTCAGCACTAATATATTCTATTCTATTATATAATATATATGTTATAATAACATATTACAAATATATATATATAATTTCTTTTCAAGTACTATGTTTCTCCATATATATATATATATATATATATATATATATATATATATATATATATATATATATATATATATATGTGTGTGTGTATGTTTCAGTATTTCACTTGTTGAATAAATGTCCCTAACATTTTGTGAGTAGTGTATAGATACAACATTGTGTATTATGCAAAATTCCTGTCACACATCACATATATCATATATCAAAATATTCTATTACTGTTAAACCCACTATGAATATTAACATACGCCAAACCATGTGTCCTGTGTCATAGCTACATGTGTGTGGTTTACAGTAAAAAAAAAAGTGTGAAAATCAGTGAAGTATTCAGCGAGTTATGATTGATTAAATGCGCTGACTCGTCACTGCGCCTGCTAAACAGATTACTCTGAGAGGAGCGGGCGACCGGTCCAAGATGGCGGCGCTACGGCTCGTCGGCGCCAATGGACAGTAGCGGTAGATGCGGCGTCTATTCTATATATGTCTATGCCTACCTTGGCTGCTCTTTTGCTACGCATCTGCAATCGACCTACGACTTTAATGATCTGAAGAGAATAACCTAAAGTAATATGTCTGACATTTTTAACAACGCCAAGCAGTATGGAATATTGTTGTAAAATAGGTGATCTCGCAAACCTCATACATGCACGACACAAAATATTTGAGTAAAATGTGTTGATACTAAAGAATATTACAACGCAGCTGTTTCATTTCAGTCGTTTGTATCGTTATTTGTCCAATTATCTTAATTATATTTTTAACCACAGTGTCAATATATTCAAATTAGGACATGAGTATATCTGGTCTTTCAGCGACCCCCCGGTGGCCTGATACCAACAATGGTCCCAACCCCCACTTTGAGAACCACCGCAGGAGATCAATGATCACTCCATCAGACTGTCCCCTGATTGGCTGAGGACGAGTGTTCACGTGAACCCGGTGTGGGGCTTGAAGCTGCCAAAAAAACTCAAACTACAAGTGCTCCAAAGATCGGTGTCGACAACCTTTGGCAGTGTGCAGGCGGCTGAGGAGCGTGAATCCTGAACCGGGACAATACATGCATCTGAAACTAAAATGATTACAAGCTAACCTGCAACAAAGCCATCCCAAGACAAGCTACTTTGTAAACCGGAACCGACCAAGGTAACGTAATCCATTCAGTTTCTCACTTCTCATCTTTTTCAAAACAGTGCGTTTAAAATTTCCCCTGTCACCTTGAATGCTTTGATCTAGCTCACTTAAACTTAAAAACTGAATCTTACACGGTTTCCCCTCAGCTTCCGCGTAACACACAGCCATAAAGTAGTGCTTAGTAATAGCCCAACGGTGATCGAAGTTTCTCCCTCAACATACACGAAGAAAAACTCCTCATTCACTTTTAAATACGATTTTCTGTAGAGCTGGGCCTTTAATACTGAGCCATCTCACGCTTACACAAAGGGCTTACGTGCCAGTGTCATTATTATTATTATTATTATCATTATTATTATGGTATTTAATGTTTCAATGTGAAGAATGATGATTAGTAAAATCTTTAACCCTCATCTGCATTTTCTTTTTCAGTGTGCTGTGCATGTTTCCCCCAAAGGTGACGATGCCAAGTGACATGGCATTGCCACTATATCTGTCCCAAGAGGAGTTCGGCTATAGAACGGCCTCCAAAAACTACCAGCCGCCTCCTGATTCATGCCATAGGTTTGAACACTCACACTGCAAGGATCAGATCGAAGCCAGCGAAGAGTCTGTGATTGAAACCACAGGGAAAGTAAAAAAGCAGGTGACTTTTGCAGATCACAAAGGACTCTCGTTGACCATGGTGAAAATCTTCTCCGAGTTTAATGATCAGATTGACATTCCGGTGAGCGTCCAAGAAATGCTGAATGCTGCCATCACACATTCTACCGAGGAGGACCAGTTGGTGCTGGACTTCCCACAGCCCTCCTCAGATTACCTGCACTTTCGCCAATGCCTGGAGAACAATTATGTGTGTCTGGAGCACTGTGTGTTGAAAGAAAAAGTTCTGGCTGGAACAATCAAAGTGAAAAATGTATCTTTTGAGAAGTCTGTGAAAGTTAGGGCAACCTTTGACTCATGGAGTAGCCACACAGATATCGGATGCAAATACTTAAAAGACACATATCCAAGCTCCTACAGTGACACGTTCTCTTTTGAATTCTCAATCCCTGAGAATTTGAGGCTGCATGAGCGCGTAGAATTTGCTATCAGCTATGAAGTTTTAGGCCGTGAGTATTGGGACAGTAATGAAGGAAAGAACTATCGCATCCTGTGGTCATCGATGAAGAAGCGCGATGAGGACAGTAGCCATAAAGACTCTTTCGGGTTGCATTTTGACCGCTATGGGAGCCCTACCTGCTCTCACGGGATTTTTCCTGATTGGCCCAGCTATGCAGGTTACGAAAACATCGGCCCGTACTACTAAGCTACTTTTACAAGGAGATTTTTATCTTTCACCTCGAGCATCATTTCCTCATCTCACTTTTTTGTAAGTGTAAAAGAAAAAAAGCCTTCATTAAGCGACTGTCAAAAAATACATTGTTGTTTGCACACAGAACCTTGCGTTTCTGCTGCTATGCCTTTTTATGTGCTGCTATTATACAATACAATGCAAGGCTTTAGGGCTGCACTATTTTTTTTTCTTCCATAAAGGCATGTGTAACTTCAGCTCTGACTCTCACTCATCTGTGTCTTGATGAAATATTTTATACTAGTTATTGAATGATTTTAATCTTGGCTTATCAAAAAATGGCAAGGTGTTGTGTGTCATTTTTTTAAATTGTAGAATGATAAGTGCATTTTCAGTTTGAATAAAGTGTGTTTAAGTGATGGCACTGGAGATCAAGTTTGGGTAATGTATTGCTTATTTGTTGCATTTTATCATTGTATTGCATTGCACAGTATGGGAAATGCTTGATTTATTTCACTGAAGTTGCATTGACCTGTAATTTATGAATAAATTTAAACTGTTGGCAAGACACTAATCTGTGAAATTTACATCTGGTTATTTCCCTTTTCATTATGAAGCTATTCTGAGCCAATTATTTCTTTTAGTTAACTTGATTTAACTAAAATGTATCTTTATCTTAAATTTCTCCACTGTGAGACTAATAAAGGTTTATCTTATCTTATTTGTTTTATTTTTCTCTACAAAAAGAGTACATGCATGGTTTGAACTCACTGAAGTATAACTAAGACTATTGCAGACTAGTATTATTTATTACATTGTGGGTTAAATTCGGGAATTGGTTCAAAAGGATGAGTTACATTCCATGGTAGGCCACAGTAACCTCATCAACGTTTGCAAGTTAATACCTTCTGTAATACCTTCGTGTTCCCCTAGGGGTCCACCTCACGCAGAGTATCCTGAGATTTTTTTGCAGTAAATAGTTTCATGAAGACTTATTTTTCTCGTGTATTTTCAACTCGTGACTTCTTTTGAGAGACTGGGTTTCATTTGTGTGTTTAAAATGTGCTAATCTGTATTAAAATTGTGGCAGACAATTGTTTTTTTTTTAGTCTTGTTTGTTTTTAATGTTTGCTTTCCTGTCAGCTTGGATCCTCAGGCATTATGATCACGTTTTAGTGATATCACTTTCACAGAGAAAATCCAACAGATCTTCGAACATTATGACGTTTTAAAATCTTTTATTGTAGTTGCTAGGGTGCATGTTGCTGTTTAAAGATACCTGGAATAAAATGAAATAAGTTGAAAATATAACATTGCTCTGGACGGTCCTATGTAATATTAAATAAATAAATACAAAAATATTAAATAAAAAAAGGAAAAAGCCTACGTCATTAGGCCTACATAATAATTAAAATGAAGAGTATTGAGTTCACTGTTGGTGTTATGATTGTCTAACACAGTGTCTCCCAAAGTGGGGTCCGCGGCCCCCTGGTGGGCCGCGAGGGTACTGCAGGGGGGCCGCGGGAGGTCATAAAAAAAATAAAAAATAAAAATAATTATTTAATGTTAAATTTATAATGTTTTGTTTGTAATATTAAAATATTTGTGTTCATTATTTGACTTGAATAATCCACTGTAATGATTTTTGTATTACAATGTTTGTAGCAGAGGCTATTTCCCCAAAATAAAATAACCAGAAGAGCCTATTCTTAATGTTGTCTTCTTGGTTATTATTTTGGGGGGCCATGCAGACCCGTCAGATTTTTAAGGGGGCCTCGGTGTTACTGAGTTTGGGAATGGCTGGTCTAACACATTCATTCGAGTACAGGGTATTTTCAAATGAAGCTAGCTTGTTATTATCACGTTAAAGCCGTTATTATTATAGATCCATGGTTAAAGCTGGACGCAGTGTGACCACGTGTCGGTGGGCAGAGCACTTTCCCTCGCCCCCCCGTGGTGACGGGAGCAGGAAGGAGGAAGACTGGGTGGGCCCAAACGACGCAGTGTACAGGGAGGGTGCTTCACTTCAGGAGATGCTGAAAACACAGACCCGAGGCACCGCTGAAGACAAAACTCCGTGACCGAGAGGAGGCTTTGACAACAAGCGGAGGTTCCCGAAGCCACTATGCCGCGCTGAGAGCACGCAGGTCTCCGCTCAGGTTCGGGATCACAGCGGACGCCACAATCACTGCTGGTTTGTTTTCATTGTGTGGTGAGTGGCGCAGGAGCGGATGATGCACGAAGCTACACTGTGGCTAAGGCCAGTGTTATTCCTCTTGACAATGTTGGACTATCTGCTGGCCTGCACTGGCATTTTGGCGTGCCGTAGAAACTGTTGGATCACCACCCTGCAGGCGCTACATCCATGAGGACCGTGAATGAAAACAAGGAGGAGACTCCTGGCTGTAACGCCATGGAGGAGAATAAGGAGGAGAATAACTTGAAAACGGCCAGGATATGGAGGGATGCAGCCCTCAGATCCAGGAAACTGCGAAGCAACCTGCGCCAGCTCACCCTGTGCTCTAAAAACAACCTGGAGATCATACTGCCAGATGATATAGCCGAGATAGAGGTGCTCAATCTCGGAAACAATTTCCTACAAGCGCTGCCCGAAGGCCTGGGGTCCACTCTTAACAACCTCCGGGTGCTTATTCTCAGGAGGAATAAGTTCACTAATGTACCTGGAGTCGTCTTTGAGCTTGGGCAGTTACTTGAACTGGACATGAGCCACAACTGCTTAAAATGTCTCCCTGAGGATGTAGGAAAGTTAAAAGGACTGAAAAAGCTGTGTGTCAGTCATAACAAAATACAACATTTACCTTCTCAAATCGGTATGGTCAAGTTATTGGAGGAACTTGACATCAGCTTCAATGAACTACGGAATCTACCCAAATCCCTCTGTAACCTCACTAAGCTGCGGACACTGGATGCAGATCACAACAAGCTGAATCAATTTCCTACTGAGATCCTTGGTCTCAGTGATTTGGAGGAGTTAGACTTGTCCGGGAATAAATTTGAGATTTTACCAATGGAGCTTGTAAAACTTAAGTCTGCAAAAATATTGTGGCTCAGTTGCCTTCATATGACCACGTTACCGGACACTTTCTGTCAACTGCATAAGATCGAGAGCTTAATGCTGGACAGTAACGACCTGCGAGTGCTGCCTCCTGCCTTCACTAATTTACAAAAGCTGAAAATGCTTAATCTCTCCTCAAACAATTTTGAACAATTTCCTGAGGTTATTTTAAGCATCGTAGGCTTAGAGGAACTCTACCTAAGCAGAAACAAATTGACTTGCATTCCAGAAGATTTAGGACAACTTGTGAACTTGGCCAATCTATGGCTGGACAATAATAAAATAAATTATCTGCCAGATTCTATTGTAGAACTTTCCAAATTGGAAGAACTTGTTGTACAGGGTAATCTCATAGCCATACTCCCAGATAATTTTGGAAAGCTATCGCAAGTGAATATTTGGAAAGTCAAGGACAACCCACTCATTCAACCTCCTTATGAGGTTTGTATGAAGGGAATTCCATACATTGCCGCTTATCAAAAAGAACTTGCACAATCCCAGCATGCTGTGAAGCCAAGACTGAAACTAGTCTTGATGGGGACAAAGAACTCTGGAAAAACTTCACTCAGGCAGAGTTTAGTTAACAAATCACATAATGTGACACATTTCCAAGGAAACAAAGGGATTGAAGTCACAAACTGGGAAGCTGATATAGACCGGTCTCTTACATTTTTAGTGCATGATTTGTCAGGGAAGCATAATTTTGACCTCATCAAGCCTTTTTTTCTTTCCCCTGGCGCTCTGTATGTCCTTGTTGTAAATCTGAAAATGTATTCAACCAAGAACTTTTATGCCCATGTTGGGTATTTTCTTCATCTCCTCGGTGCCAAAGTTCCTCATGCGGTATTGTGCATTGTGGGCACACACACAGACTCATGTGGAGACGTGGAAGTGGAGGAGAAAAGCCTGGACATTCACAGACAGATCGGTCTCCAGGAACACACTGACATGGAGAATCTGAGAGGTCTCATTCAGCAGGTGGACCTGGCTTTGGAGCAAGGCTTCAATGTCCGCTCTTTAAGCCCTCATATCCCTTTTTATGGTGTGTCTGATAGGAACCTACGGCGCAGGAAATCCCAGCTACAGTACATGATGAACCACAGACTCCAGATTCTGTCTCCTGTTCTGTCTGTTAGCTGTACCTCTGCGCAGCAGAATATCCAGAGGCTACGGGACAAACTCACGTCTGTTGCAGACCACAGAGACATTTTCCCCAATCTCCATCGCGTGCTGCCTAAGTCTTGGCAGATGCTGGAGGAACTGCACTTTAAACCCAAAGATCTGTGGCTGTCCTGGTGGGACTCTGCTCGTCTGGGCCTCCAGGCCGGCCTGACAGAGGACCGCTTACAGAGCGCTCTGTCCTACCTACATGAGAGTGGGAAACTGCTCTATTTTGAGGACAGTCTTACTCTGAAAGAATATGTTTTCCACAATCTTCCCAGATTCATAGCCATTATAAACGTTTTTTTCCAGAGGGATGAATCCACTCTTTTGGACAGACTTCTGTCTGAGGGTGAGAGAGGGGAGAAAGGCAGAGTGAGCCTGGTCATAGAGGATGAGAAAGGAGAGAGTCTTAGGGTCGCACATCTGCAGCATTTTGTGGAGGGCTTCCTTCAAAACGGCCTTCTGCCCTCCATTGTTATCCGTCTGCTTCTGAGACCACTCATCCAGACCCAGCAGGACCTTCACCTCATTATGCAACTCCTGGAGAAGATGGGAATCTGCTACTGCATGAACAAAGCCCGCAACAAGCCTCTTAACGGAGCCACTGTGTGGTACAGGTTTCCCAGCTACGTCAGCAGAGACTTCCCCAGCAGCACAGAGGCCTCGGTCAGTGGAGGCTCCTTCTGCCAGTTCTTCTCTGTGGAGCAGCTGAATGTTCAGTACTGCTTTCCAGTTTTATTTCCTCCAGGGCTGTTTGATAGATTCAGTGTGCAGATAAACAGCCATGTCGTCCAAAGGTCCGATGGAAGGCACCAAATCTGTGCATTTCGTGGTAAAGTCCCTGTGGTAATAAGCCATCATCCACCAAAGGGAAAACGGATAGAAACATTGTCCATCGTCAGCCATGCTTCCCTGCCAAACATTTGGACTGCGTGGCAAGCCATCATGCCCCTGGTGGAAGAGCTGAACATGTTGCTTCAAGAGTGGCCTGCGCTCCTCTACTCGGTGCATATCCTGTGTTCAAAGTGCCTCAAAAGAGGGTCATCCAGCCCACATGCCTTTCCAGGTAATATGTCCTCTTAAATCTAGTATTTCTGTCATGAATTAATTAGTTTTTAGTTTTGTTAATTTTATGTTTGTAGAATTGTCCAACTTTGTAACACTGCTGTGTTGTAACCATGGTTTTTTAGTTTGGCGCTCACCATTAGAGACACAAAATAAAATGTGTATTTTAAACACACAATTCAAACATGAGTGAGGCCTAGGGGCATTACAGCAGTAATATTTCACAAGGCGTCAAGTGATGCATGTCTTGATTAGTCTGTTCATTCTTCTACAATAGAGCTTGTTTGTTAAATGGGTTGTTATGGCACTAGCCCTTTTATAATTGTATAACTCTCCCATAATGTGAGTATCAAAAAGGTGTAATTCGAGACGAGCAATTTTCTTATTTGAGAATTCAATTATGTCCATTCCAAAGTAACTGTACATTTTTTACTTTTCTATGTATATCAGACTTTTTTCCAGATGGATTAGTGAGAAATATCCCTTGGAAAGTTTTCTTTATTTTTGGCCACTGAACTAAATCAGGAAGTGCTTTGCAGAATGTCTTGTGGGGACTATAAAACGGTGTGGGGCCAGACCAAGAGAAACAGCTCAGCTATTTTACCTTTTGAATTGCATTTTACCCGTACGCTGTGAAAGCTAGTGAGTTGACTAATGGTGACATTTGATTTTTCTAATGGATCACTGTTACTCCATATAGGGACTGAGTACGACACATAGTCCTCTTATGCCTTGTGCTTGTGAGCACCGTTTCTCCAGGGCCAGGCCTTTTATGGTGTTGAGCTGCTCCTGATGCAGAGTTTGTGCTTCAGACTAAACTCTTTAAAGTTGGATCAAGAAATGTTCCTTTTTTATTCATTGTTTTCAGATTCCTGCTCTATGCAACAATTGTGGGTACGATCTTTTCACCATTTAAAAATATAACAATTTAAAGGTATTTGAAACATATCAAGATAAAAAACATTGCTAACTTCCTATTGTCTGGTATAAAAGAACCAAATATCTGTATTTCTTCTAAGAAGACAAGATGAACCTTGCTAAACTAGTATAACATTTAGTTTAAAATTGTAATCTTTTTTGAGACAATGGAAATATTTTGTTCCTGAAATATTTACTATTATTGATATAATGCAATAGTCATACAACTGACATCATAGTTTAATGATGGTTACTGAAGACAGAGAGGTCTTGGGTTCAATCCCTGGTCCAAGGACAACACAGATAATTGTATAAGTCTAATGTGAACATATGCAATTCACTTCATATAAACATATTTTTTGTAATGCTGGATGGCACGAGGTGCAGAACATTGTTTCAAACCTTTTAGCGTCAGTATCTTCTTTGAAATGACAAGTGGAATGAATGATCTGTTATGGCTGTACACTCGGCTGAAGTTGAACTGGCTCTTGTCTCAGCACTTTTACTACTGTTGGTATTTGCAGAGTTTACTGTGTCTTTCTGGCACTTGCGTATTAAGATATAGTTTTGTTAATTTCAGTTCTATAGACCACAGGTCGGACCAAACTAAAGTCCTCTTCTTGAGTTTAATGCCTGATGGGCAGTGTGCTCTCAGCCCAATGTACTGCTGTTTCATTTTAAGCCAATGAGAGAATCTGAAACGTTACTTTTACTTGGAAAGTGAACCAACATAAATACCACAGGCGTTTTACTGTCTCACTGATTATAGCATTACCGTCTTGTGTTTCTAGATGTGAATAGTTCTCTGTTTAAAATGCTGCTCAGTGCAATAGACTATTTTACTGAAAACTGGAGCAATGTGTGGTGTTGTTTATCAGCTGACTGTTTTAAATCGCTAGCTCATGTCTTTCAATGAGACATTGTCAACAACTAAATAGCAAAGTCACATCTTTATAATTCATTACAGGCCTCGACGGTAGCTGCGTTGCAAACCACAAATGCTGCTGTCATCTCATTCTCGAGCCTGTCGATGTGAAAATCATAACTTGCTATTTGCCACCTGCCATATAAATTAGATTAAAATTGCATGTGTTTTTTTAAAAGTATAAAATATAAGTACTGCGTTATTACAAAGTGAGCCACATGTTAAAACAAGCCCAGATTATGTGCCCATGTCAGACCTGCCTTGTTTTCCTTCTATTCACATTTTTAACTGATGAGAAAGGATCTTCTGTCATAACGTCTGAGGAAACTATTGTTGAAAAAGTGTGATTCCATGCAGACAAGGGCTGTAACAATTATTTGGAAAATCACATAATTTAGTGATTATCTTCTGATAAATCGATTATTTGATGAAGCTGATGCACCGGAGAACATCATAATAGATTTATCCTCACACAAGACCTTTTCAGTTTGGCTTTTGTAATTATTGCTCTATTTGACTCTTTATTTTTTACTATTATTTGATTACTAAATTATTTGACCAAAAACTGCAAAGACATGGTTATTTGCTATTATTTGTTACAGTCCTTCTTTAGAATTCTCCGCTGCTGTATTTTGTTTAAATACATAATTATTTATTATTGGCTATTCTCTAGTCTGTGAGAAACCTTGGACCATGTTGATGGTGCTGACTGTAATCCCATATAGAGGATTGCAATCCTGTTACATCACTGGTGGTAAGCTGCAGTATTACCTCCGTCAGACTTGTGACAGAGGCTGTTTACACCTGGTGTGTTCTCTGGTTCTTCCACTGCAGCTGTATTGCTCTGACCAATCCTTTGATTGATCCATGACACAATAGTATATATCCGAGAAGTAATTGCATTGTCAGCTCTCCTCTGTCTATAACGACTCTATAAGTCAGGCAAAAACTAATGGATAATTCTGTCAAAAATATAACAGTGCTTCCCAATCTAGATGCGGTCTTAAAATGCTGAGACCTCAGAAATTCAATATCTCTGTTTAATTAAGTTGTTAGTTTAACTGTAGCTCTATTCCCACAGTGTATGAAAGAGTTGGTTCCAGTCCACATCTGTGCTTACTGTGAATATGCAGGTTTGTGAGCAGTGAAATGTCTTGATTAAATATAACAAACTCAATATACTAAACCATTTGCTGAATAACACTGGTCCATTTCAGCCTCTTCTGATCTACATTTATAAGCTGCTTTAGTCATCAACTGACCTGTTTTTGTTGCCCAGATCTTCTGTAACAGTTGTTTTGACAGCCACTTCTCTGTGTCCTCTGGCCAAGCAAAAGTAGTTAACGAGACAACCTAATATTATGTTGTACTTCGGCAAATTTGCGTTAGCTTATTATGTGAAACTGGTTTCACAATTCCCTGTTCAAAATGTAATATGATGTGTGCTGTTATCATGGCAGGTCCATACACTACATTACTGTTAGCAGCACTTAAACTTCATTGATTTTGTTCGACGCTTTCAGTCTGAGGATGTTTGGCCATGGTTCAGAAAGGATCACTGAGACTCACTGAGAGTCACTGAAGCCAACATACACTCTTTGTTGGGAAATAAGGGTTTCATTCCTGAAAGGGGATGAGTAGTCATGCAGTCACTAAAATAGGTCAAAGCTAATAACCCCTCCTCCTGAACCTTTGGATGAAAGAGACAGAATCTGAGGACAGTGGGGGAGGAGGGGGTTTGGTCCCTGACTTCGAGATCAGGAATGTGCAGATCTCATGTCAACCCTCCGCATTTACACTTTGTCTGCAGGTACACTAGAGAGTCCTCTGAGTTCCCTGAAAGTCTGTCTGTTCTCTCACAGCTTTGTCCAACAACAAACCCACAGTTTTATGTCAAGGAATGTGCATCCTCTTATTCAATCAACACACACTTGCATCTTCCTGTTCATTGAATTCTCCCTGTTGGCTGCCGGATGTGTGTTCAGAAATGGAGGGAAACTGAGCCATACGTCTATTTCGACACTTTTAAAACATTGCATCTCACTATTTTTGGTGTGTTTCAGGTGAACTTCTAAGCCAACCTCGACCGGAGGGACTGACTGAGATCATCTGTCCAATCGGCACAGAGCGTGTGAATGTAGCACTGGTCTACCCTCCGACTCCCACCGTGGTCAGCCCCTCTCCCAAATAGCAGCTGCACCAGTAGCTCTGTGGTCTTTCTAAAAACGCCATTCTGAGTCTACTTCTTGTTTCCATTAATGCTGGACATGTAGAAGTGCACACGTATCCTAAATCGTTTCAATATTTATACATTGTTAAAATCTCTGTAAAAGTGTAAAACTGTGCATGTTGTCATAATCACTGGATGTACATTTTCTTGTGACTTTGAATTGTATGAGTGTGGAACAGCACAAACAACATGCGTCCAGGCAATTCAAAGAGGGATTGTAACACTTTTGACTCACGTTAACTACGAATCATTGCAAGACATAAAACATGTTGTAATTTCTGAACATATCTGCTCACTGTCTCTCCCTCTTACGACAATATACTATGCAGTAGTGGCTTGAAGTGAAGACTGCCAAGGAGCGCTCAGTGGAATTTCTACTGAAACAGTTTCTGACCAAACCACTGATTAAGAGTTTTCTGTACCTACATTACTTGTGTATTGTGTATTTCATCCCCTCACTGAAAAACTAGCAATTAAAAGGGAGTGGTTATCTTCCTTCAATTCCATTTTATTTTTTATATGTTGGTCGATGTGACCCTCATTTTTGACACATTGTCAGTGCAATGTAGAGCATGACCTGGGTATAGGGAGGTTGCACATGTTTGCTGGTTTTAACAGCTCACAGAATTATACCAAATAAAGATCTGGCTTTAATATAAAAATATGTCTTTGCATATTTGTATTCATATTTTATTGTATTTACATATTTCTCAGGTGAAACTCTTAAAATTAGAATATTGTTCAAAGGTTCATTTATTTCTGTATTTCAAGTTGGACTCAATACATTTATTTTTCAGGATTATGGCTTACAGTCCATTTTCAAAAAGTTGTTTATTTGGGGCAAACTATCAACATACAACATAAACTACAGTCTTGATATATCTCAGGTTGCATGTAATGAACGTGTCATGTGCTATTTTTCACTCTGAAATTAATGTAAATAACATCGAACTTTCCACAACATCTAATTTTTGAGTTTTTCTATTTCCTTTGTGGACCCGTCACTCTGTCCAAGGCACTCAATATAATTGGCTGCGACATGACAGTTTGGTCATGTCAGTGTCAGAATTACTGTTTTATATTTCTGTTTGAGTAGCTTAACTCGTTGCAGAAATGAAAATTATCTAATTTGATTGTTTCTTATGATATTTTTCCAAAGTTACCTACACACACATTTGCATTGTTTTCTCACTATTCACTATTCACAATTAATTTGAGTATTTGAAACAAAACTTAGCACCTACCTAGTGTTCCCTATTTTGGACTAAAAATAACCGAAGGCTTTCTCAATGTGGTGTAGTAGTACTGATATATCACATTTGTATCCCAGTAACAAGTAATATAAAACAAATTTACAGTAGCTAGCCCAACATTTATCTGCAACTTCCACTCACAACTGTAAGTAGTTTATTTTATTTATATAAACGGCTTTATTATCATTTAAAATAATACAAACAAAACAGGTACCTTACATATTATCTACACAAAGACAAAGTCATACAAAATATAAACTAAACTAAAATATAAAGATAAAAAGGGGGCATGATCTCAGACCTTATCACTCAGCTGTTCACCCTTATTATAGATCCATGTCTGTACATGTAACGGGCACTTGTCAGTGAAAGAAATTAGTTCTAAGGAGTTCTTCGTATTGATTGATTTGTACTCATACCTCCAATGGACAAAGGTACATCCATGCGTAGTAGTTACCGTGTTTGTCCAACATATGGCTCTGGTCTAACAGCGCCACCACCAGTTCAGCCTAACACATCGCACTCTCCAGAGAAGCTGTGTGTCCCCCTCGCCGCCAGGGGGCAGGCGTTGCAGAAGAAGGGCCCACATAAAGGCCAGCGTCACTGTGGCACTTCCTCTTTCTCGTGCGGCCTCAGAGGTAATGGCAGCTCATCTTCACCACTGCACTCCTCATGAACTGAATCTGCGTCAAACCATCGCCATCCTGCGTCTCTGAACTCTTGTCTGCCCGCGTACGACTGCACACGGAATTATTGTGTATAAATAGTTATGTATGTGCATATGCAGACCGGTGCAAAGTGACTATTAGCCGGCTGTGAAGAACCGCTCCTATCCGCCATGTTTTCTGATTCAACACTCACTAAGCTAATGTTTTTGAGTCAAAAGTAGCTGTCTGTAAATATACGTGATTAAATGTGTCTTTTTCATCTTGATGTCAGCGGGACAATATGCCCATCACTGCCCTATACAGCTAACGCAAACTAGCTAGGCCCATTCAAGTCTTAATGCCATGACATGGTTTCTAATTTGTTTTTCTCTTCACTAGATCATCTGAAAATGGTCCGCTACTCTCTCGACCCCGAGAACCCGACCAAATGTAAGTGTTCATTAATGCGCATCTATTTATGTTTATGGTTTACTATGATGACTTCTTAGGACACCTTTGGATATACCATGAAAACAACACTTGTACTGTCTGAGATGCTATGCTAGCTAAAAGCTCATATACCATGCTTTTGCACAATCTCATTGCATTTTATTTTCTACAGCATGCAAGGCGAGGGGTTCCAATCTGCGGGTTCACTTTAAGGTATGATCTTATTGTCATTGTCGCCCATTTTAAGTGTTGAATATATAAGGTTTACCTACATCAATGTTGATTGAAGCTTTTATATTCTGGTTCTACAGTTTAGTTTTTAGTAGTACTCGGGTGGATTTTTGGGCATTAGTCACATCTCTTGATTAGCTTTTTCAGACATGAAAGGGAACCCTCATTCAACTAGACTAGCCTGTGTAATATAGTAATATTAAAGTGCAGACTTCTATCTTTGACAGTTAAAATTTCACCCAGATCTCAACTTCTCTCTTCACAGAACACCCGTGAGACAGCTCAGGCCATCAAGGGCATGCACATCCGTAAGGCCAACAAATATCTGCGCGATGTGGTTGTCAAGCATCAGTGTGTCCCATTCCGCCGCTACAATGGAGGTGTAGGACGGTGTGCTCAGGTATGCACATTTTTAAATTGTAGACTGCAATGATGACATCTTAGGACACCTTTGGATTAAAGATGAAAACACTGTTTTTGGCTGAGCAGTCATTTTAATAATTAATTTAAAGTGTTTGTGTGAATTATTAATAATTTCTTTGGTTAGGCCAAGCAATTTGGTTGGACCCAAGGACGTTGGCCTAAGAAAAGTGCAGAGTTTCTCCTTCACATGCTAAAAAATGCAGAGAGCAATGCTGAACTTAAGGTGAGTTTTGAAGTCGTTTAGCTTCTACTTGATCAGTTTGATGCCTTCCATCAAAATATTGTCCTCCTACAAAGGCGCACTTGTATTGGTTTGCTTACAAGTGCGTAAGAACTGGAGGAAGAGAAACTGGCTGACTTTTTATTATTACAGTCTGCATTGGCAGATGGTGGATGGGTCATTCAGACAGTTTAAATACAACTCTATGCTTTTGAATGAATACTTTGAGCCATGTCAGACAAGAACAAGGAACAGCAGCAAAACAACTGAATAGAAAAAAAATCAATAAATAACAAAGTCAGCTCGAAAAGGAGTGGGAAGAAGTTAAGACTTCTAAGACTAATATTAGGACATAAATGTTAAACGGCGCTATTTTTATTTGCCATAATTTATCTAATGCGTTGTTCCAGGAAACTGGAAAGGGTTATATTTTAGTTAAATGAGTCAATGGTTGTAATTTACAAAGTTGACCAAATATACTCTTGAAATGCACTGCAAAGTTGTGACTGAGCTAAAATCGCTGCAGAGATGTTTTATTTCAAAATGTAGGTTTGTTACACGCTCTACAGTTGAACTATTTTAACTCTGCTGAAATTGTGGATAATACAAAGTTGAGCAGCGTTTATGGGCATTTTTGAGTTTCCTGGAATGCTCAATAATTTAAATGATTGTAGAAACATTAATCAAACTGTACATAAGAGAATAGTCTGTGGGATCAGTAATGACACTATTGGTCAACCATTGTCAGTCGGGTGATGTGTGAACTTTGAATGACCAGATACTAATTACTGCATTACATCTAAATTGTCCTGACCATTTCAACCCCAATGAACTCTAGATCATGAGACATTAGACTTTTATATTAAACAAAAAGGACTATTTGAATCTTGTGCATCTAATATTGGCTTGGCAATTTCATATCTATGGATATAATTTGAATGCGCAGATAACATTTTTTTGCACTTTGTCTCTGCAGGGATTGGATGTGGACTCTTTGGTCATTGAACACATTCAAGTCAACAAAGCTCCAAAGATGAGACGACGCACCTACCGCGCTCATGGGCGCATCAACCCTTACATGAGCTCCCCCTGCCACATCGAGATGATCCTCACGGAGAAGGAGCAGATCGTCCCCAAACCAGAGGAGGAAGTGGCCCAAAAGAAAAAGGTCAGTTATTTATTTAAAGATGGGAAGCTTCTTTTTGCTATGATGACTTCTTAGGACACCTTTGGATGACCCATGAAAATAAACTATATATTCTGAGCAATTGAATGTGTTTGGAAGACTGTAGAATGTTATGTACAGAGTATAACACTTAAACTTGTCACCCCCAGGTCTCACAGAAGAAGCTGAAGAAGCAGAAACTCATGGCACGGGAGTAGATTTAAAAATAAAACTAAGAAAACACTTTACTTGTTAATGATTTTGTGATTAAAGCAGTTGTACCGATTGCCAAAAAAGATCCTTTATTCGCCCCACAAAGGGGAAATGTAATTGTTAGAATGAAAATCGCACACAAATGTATAAATTGGAGTATAGCTGACCTCTGGTCTAATTGACCCCACCCCATGTGATAAAACCATAAAGTTCTTTAGCTAAATGTTTCCTAACTTTATAAGCCATGGTTCATTTATGGCCTAAAAGAGTACTTTAAATCACTGGTCATTTTGGAGATCTTCAGCCCTAAGACCTGATTAGTCTAGCTAAAGTGGTAGCAGGCTGCGATTTGGCTTTCATCTGTTACTCCCTCTGAGTTTATAAAGGCTCAAAATCGTTCTTAAGTTTTAAACAGACATTTATTCGTCCAGAGGAGAAATGCCAACATGACGAGAATGCCGTCAGAACTGAAAGGAACATAAAATGTACATTAACGCTTAGAGACGGCACTTACACATATAACACAGAGCAATGGAGACCAAGACATACCTCATTGGCCGCTTTACTCAACAGGGAAATAAAACACAAAGGACTTTCAAAGGGTTTCTTTTCTGATACCCGACATCTTCCATGCGTGGACCGAGCGAAGCACCTCGTGGCTTGAGAGGAAAATTAGTACAACAAAAAAAGGGTGTGTCCAGATAACCATTCCCCAAAACATAGTTCCACAAACAAAAGGTTCCCAGTGTGCAAAAATATGAAATTTAAATTGCACTTTTAACTATAATATTTGTAACTCTTACATAAAATTATTGAAACATTAAATAAAATGAGAGTTGCCTCTGCAGCTACAATCTGGTTAAGTGCAAATTGATGCCAATAAGAATTTTTAACATAAATCACGAGTGTTGAAAGAATTTGGAGTCTTTAAATTTGAGCTGAATGACGTATCGTTTTGTCGTGGCGAATAAAAGCCACGCGGTGGCGCTAGTAAGCCATGTCCAAAGGTAGTGTGGAATCTCATCACTGGATATTTCTGTTCAATATTGAACCTATAGGAAGGAATTGAATGAACAGTGGCACCGATAGCGAAACCAATTGAAAAGTAAAACATGCTTTTATAGCAGAATCAAGTTATTGGTGAAACTTAAATGTATTTAGGAGTTTTAATTACCAGAAAAATAGATATCCAGCCTTTAATTTGTGGATTTTCTTTTTATAGCAATTTATTAGTAATAAAGAAAAGTGTAACAGGCCATGGTAGCACATTTTTAAGTAGCAAGTCTTCATTATTAGTATGTGCTGAGAAGGGTGTGGACTTTTCTCATGTCTGCATCATGCCATATTAGGCATATGGGGAAAATGCTTTTGATCAGCTATTGATCGTGTGTAAACATGGACCACTAGGTGTCGCCAGTGGGCATTTGCCGCGGGTGGATCTCTTGCTTTGAAATGTTCTGAGGCCTTGGAATTTAATGGAGAGTTAAGATTTACACAACACCAGTGCATCCTCGTGCACAGGTTTTTCTTAATTTAAATTAACCAAAGTATCTTGTGGAATGTTTGTTTCATCTGGACTCAGACTTAAATTTTAATAGCCACATCAAATCAGTAACATCAGCAGCTTTTTACCATCTAAAAAACATTGCCAGGATCAAAAACATATAGTGTCTAAAGCAGACTTGGAGATTCTTATCCATGCATTTGTCTCCAGTAGGTTAGACTACTGCAATGGCCTGCTCACAGGTCTGTCCAAACAGGCTGTAAAACAGCTGCAGTACATTCAAAATGCAGCAGCTCGAGTCCTGACTAGAACCAGGAAGTACGACCACATTAGTCCAGTCCTCAGGTCCCTGCACTGGCTTCCTGTGGCTCAGAGAATAGATTTTAAAACAGCTCTGCTTGTTACAAGTCTCTCCATAGCCTCGCACCAAAATATATTAGTGACATGTTAGTCCCATATGAACCAGCCCGGACTCTGAGGAGCACAGGGACTGGACTCCTGTTAGTGTCCAGAGTCAGGACTAAACATGGGGAGGCTGCTTTTCAGATTAATGCTGCTAAAATCTGGAACAATCTTCCTGAAGATGTGAGACAGGCCTCTTCTCTGACAATGTTTAAAACCAAGTTAAAAACGGTGCTGTTTAGCTGTGCATACAACTGAGGGATTTTATATTTTTATCTTTCGTTTTAATGTTCTGTGATTATTTATGATTTTAATGCTATCTTGTTCAGCACTTTGAGTTGCCTTGTGTATGAATTGTGCTATACAAATAATTACTTGCCTTGCCTTGCCTTGCCATCTTCTAATACTATAATCGTAGAGCTACATGGTGATAATATACATGTCCACATAAAGGCCTTCAAAATAACGGTAATAAAATGTAACATGACTAACATGAAAATAGAATTAACTGATCGAGTGATCTGAGTGTGATCAAGTTCATTGAGAAGGCGCGTTGCCATCACTGCTGCTGGGTCTTTTTGTCGCACGTCAGACGAATCAAGTGTTCAGCCAATCAGCGCTCGGGCCTAAACCCACTCGTGACGTCACAGGCAGGTTATCCAATCCGAACACAAACATCCGCCTGCTCCCCGCTCTCCCCTCAAACTTTTGACTTTTCAGCTAATACACACTAGAAATAGATGATAATGTTTTATTATCTCAAACAAGTCCTTGAGCACAACAGAGAAAGTGTGGTTATTGTCCGCTTTGGACAAAACTGAAGTGAAGCGGCGACTACGTGGAATATACGGATACAGCAAAGGTTTATTTTCTATGATTTTGTTTTTCATCAGAAATGTTCACTGGTTTGTCTGCGGCTTTTCATTTTATTTCACATTTTTGTACACACGTGTTGTGATGGACATTGAATGTGCCTTTAGTTAGGTGGATTTGCGCGCGGTCCGGACACTTACTGAGGCGCAGAGGGTCTTTCTGACGGTTCGTGTCTGGAGTCCTCACTCACACTCGGTGATGTTAGCCGTCGGTCCGATGGACGGGTCCCGACAGAGCGCCTTTCTCCTCAGCACTCCTCCGCTGGCCGCTCTGCACAGCATGGCCGAGATGAAGACCCCATTGTACCCGGCCTACCCCCTCTCATCCAGCGGCCCCAACTCCTCCACCTCTCCGGCCACCACTTCTCCAAACCCGGGGGGCATGGCTGCGTCCTCCCCCGGGATCAAGTCCTCCGCGATGTCCTCGGGACTGGGCTCCCCGCAGCACTGCTCGTCTGCGACTCCACACGGGATCAATGACATCCTCAACAGACCCTCCACGTCTGGCCCCACGACCCCTGCCTCTGTGGGCTCCTCTTCAGCGGGCTTACTGTCTGGACTGCCTCGCTTCAGCAGCTTAAGCCCCCCTCCGCCCCCTGGACTGTACTTTAGCCCGAGCGCAGTGGCCGTGGCCCGGTACCCCAAACCCCTGGCAGACCTGCCTGGTAGGACCCCCATCTTCTGGCCCGGGGTGATGCAGAGCCCACACTGGAGAGACGCAAGATTCGCCTGTTCACCCCGTAAGTGTCCTCACAGTTTTACCGAGCTATAATTGACCTCTAAGGCATAAATATAACTGACCAAACTGCAGAGTTAGGTCACCGCATATACATGCTGTGAATTTATTCTATATTGCCTTTTTTCTCTCAATTTCAGATCAAAATTCTGTGTTATTGGACAAAGATGGCAAAAGGAAACACACGAGGCCAACATTTTCGGGACAGCAGATCTTTGCTTTAGAAAAGACTTTTGAACAGACCAAATATCTGGCGGGGCCCGAGCGCGCTCGACTGGCTTACTCCCTGGGAATGACTGAAAGCCAAGTCAAGGTAAATAAGTGTTCTTCTAATACAGCACCAATTATCACAGGTATGAATACAGCAGTGCATGGCAACCTATACTCGAGGCTGTAATTGCATAATAATGACAATAAATGATAATTACAATACTTATTGTATGTGTATATATATGTATATATGTATATATATATATATATATATATATAATGTTAGTTTAGTTAGTTAGTTAGTTACTACTATCATCATTATAAGTATTGTAATAATTATTACATATTATTAAAATATGTATGTACGTAATTTTAAAATATATTTAATTTAAATAATGAAAACAGTTTTGTGGAGGCCGTTTTACTCAATAAATTTGTTTTGTTTTGTGCGTGGCAGGTGTGGTTTCAGAACAGAAGGACTAAATGGAGGAAAAAGCACGCTGCGGAGATGGCCACTGCGAAGAAGAAGCAGGACACTGAGACCGAGCGTCTGAAGGGGACTTCGGACAACGAGGAGGACGATGACGACTACAACAGACCCCTGGACCCGAACTCAGACGACGAGAAAATCACGCAGCTGCTGAAAAAACACAAACCCTGCTCTTCGCTGTTAATTCACACGTCAGAAAACGACAGCTCATAATTCACTATTCAGGGCAAAGGAACTCCCGGAACCAGACTTGAGTTTTTGCCCTGCGACAGGCGCGTGTCCTTCATCTTCACCGGAAAAAAACAAGAGCTTGTTCTGAAAAGGACAGATGCGTCTCTACGCAGTGACAGAGACTTGTACATATAACCGTGAGTTTTAGGCCATATGATTTTTTTGTACAAAGTGCTCTGAATTCATCAAGCTGCCTCTTCAGACGCCAATTCATGTGAACAAAGTATGAGGACTACGACATCCGTCTAGAAAAACACACTTATGTTTCTTCTGAACATTCACTGTGTGTGACACATTTCGTTGAACGCGCTCCTGTTTTTCAACCTTAGCCACACGCGGCTCCGATCTCAAACTGTTTGTTAAGGACTGAACATGTAATGCACTTTTATTTAATAATGATAATAATTAAAATAGTTTTAAAAATGATGGTTTGGTTGTCACTGAATCGGAGCACAACGATATTTATGACACAGTATGAGAATAGGGTGTTTATGAATGTTTATTACAATAATTTACAACACGTCTGTACGGAGACCATTCCATCACGTACGGGGTTTTCAGACCAGTTTTATGATAGGCCTATGGTTCTCAATCTGATTATATTTTACTTCCGTGGGCCTAGCACGTTGATATGGAATTTTGGATGTCCTCTTAAACTGCCTTATGTTGCTGAAATATTTATATCATAAGAAAATGCATTATTATATAGAATAGGTAATTTCAGACTTTTGTTTTAGAATTAAATAAATGCAGTTTAAAACAAGCAAACACACTATAAAATACGTATTTATTTTTGTGTGTACATTTTGATAGCGGGTAAATAACCAAAGGCTAGTTTGTTGTTCAGAGCGGATGCACGTGGCGCTGTCTGGTTGCTGTCTATGGTTGAGCTCTTGCTGCTGGTGCTCTGTCATGGACGTGGTCGATGGTTGTGGAGGTAAACTGAAGATTAGCATCGTTTCTATATCACAGGGTGAGACTCACAGTGTCAGCTGCAGTTGTGGAATTTGGAGAAAGTCTTTAGAAGCGCCTCTTTTGTCTCCCCCGCCAAACGTAAGTTTGATCTGGGCTATTCTTTTAGCTTCCATGAAATAAAGGTCTGTTTTAGCACAGGGAATGGGTTTAGGTCGCGGCCTGTGGACTTAATCCACTTGTATGAATGATTGTATCTCCAGATGAAGTTAACAAGCTGTGTTGCCTGTAGGTGTGAAGGAACATTGCCTTTATGTGTTCCAGGTGTAGGACATGGGCCCGGGCCCCCGGGACACACGGCAGCATCTGCCGCTCTAATCACACTGCTCCCTCTGTGAGGACTCTGAGGTGTCTCTGCCGCTGCAAGCTCTCGCCCTGACGAGGTACGACTCATGAGAAGATTACTTTCAATATAGAATTTTGAATCAACGCAATACTGTCACTCTTTATGTGTAAGATTAGGATAGATACACTCAAGGTTAGAAGATTATAGTCAAATAATTCACATTTCCATCATGGAAACCCTCCTCCAGGCCGAGTATAAGTCAGGTTTGTGGAGATGCAAGCTCACTCCCAGTTCTGACATGATTTTATAATTTATGACTCTTCATGAAAGTCATGCTGTTTTTGAAACCATATCCACAGGTATTTTTTGTTTTAATTTTTTTTAATGACCTCTGTTTTTATGTTTTGGTGTTCCTAAAGGCCTAACATTATGCCTTAACATTATTTCAGTTGTACAAAATTAATACTACTGAAAAGAATCCACACTCAATGACTTTTTAAATACATTTTATTCAATACAGTATTGGTTAAAAATACTATTCTTTTGGACAATAATATGTAATTTACCAATTAATAGTATAATTTTTTAATTAAAAAAAAAATATTCCTCACAAGTCACAAGTTTCATAATTGATTATTTCTTACGGTAACAATGCATTTCCGTCCCAAATTAATTCAGGAATTCATTATATCATATTATATTAATTATTAAATTAATGATTATGTTTATTATAATAAATGCAGCATGCAAAAATAATCTAAATTCTACGATTGAGTCCTTAACTCTGTTTTAAAGAGATTCAAGAATGTGAAATGATCATAATGATCATTATACTGAGCACAGTCTTTGCTTATAAAGTATTGCTTATTAATTATACGTAAAAAAAATACATACAATTAGATTTTGTACTAACATGACTAAATTGGCAAATACGTGTTGAGATTATAGGAGACGGATAAAGCAGGTGGCAGAGGAAAATGGTTATTTGGTTTGTCTCAGTTACACAGTAGAAAAGCTTGTTGCGTTTTAGATTGCTGACCAACCTGTTGACTCCCTCTAAATCTTGTCCTGTTTGCTGGTGTGACTAATGTGTTAGCGTTGGGCGATCTTTGAAAAGAGTCCATTGACAATCTCTCGTTGACCATGTAGTGCAGGAGATTACACACAAGGACATGTGTCACGGGGGCTGTGGCTCCCACACCAATGAATTGTGGCTCACATTTGCCTGTGGCCTTATCTCACTCTAACCCCACTGTGAGACTTCTGATAAGGAGCGCCTTGGGATCCCCCATTATGAAAAGCTAAGGGCCACACAGTGGCAGCACTCCCCTGACTCGTGCTAAAGCATCGCTATCTACCCTTTTAGCACATATTCATGGTTGAGTGAAAAGGGTTTGAGCTCCTCTGCTTTGAATCCATAGTGTTCTAAATCTCAGAATTTAATTCATTCAGGAGGCATTATTGCGCTGTCCACTGAATTCTGTCTTGTAGGATAGGGAAAGAAAGTCAATGTTAATTGCTCTGCCTGCTTGAGCAAGTTAATGACAGTATATGCCAATAATTAAGTGTATGGGATTTAAGAGCAGGTGCTCCTTCAGAGGATGGCCTCATTTGCTGGCGGGATCTTTGAGTGCATAGGAAAGTGACTCAGATGAGATATGAGATATAATCTTGAGCCGTGTTATCTGCAGGTCCTAAAGCTCTGTGTTGGGCGTAGCCTGGGATGTACCTCATTGAAGTATTTATTCTGAGATAATCTCTCTTAATGATGTTTCACCTCTGTGTGTGTCAGAGGAGCTTCCAGTAGCAGTTCATGAGCAGGTGTCTCTCATAGAGGTAAACATATTCAATAGAAAGTCACGCTGATTCCTAGATCCAGCGTTTCCATGTCCGATATCATCAAAGTCAAGGAAATGGAAGTTAAACACTGTAAACAAACACCTTAAAGGGGTTTATCCACAAAGTCAGTTTTCATACAGAGGCTAACAAACGTGATTTATTTTTATTTGATTAATTTTCTGTCATTATTGAGTTGTAAAAGTAAAAAAAATGTATTATAATGACGCACGTGTGTTATGCATTTATAATACATTGCTGATAACTCAAAGAACCACTTAATGGTTTTTTACTTGGGGCTTGGTTTATACTTGTGGAATTAGGGCAGATTTTTAGCTGCTGCCTTAGGTTTGGCAAGAGCTAATGTACACAGGGGATAATTTTTGTAAATGCCGGTGTTTCAGGCACAAATCTTCTAAAACCTTCAGTGCTTTTGTGGAACTTCTGTAGTGTATAAAATAGAGGATGGCTTCTTTCAGATACAGTACACAATACTGTAACTTCACAGTCCATCCCAGTATCGGCCAACATGTGTTTGCTGATCATTTTACAACCTTAAGTTTAATCATAGGATCCCCTTTTGTCATATAACAGCAATGATTTATAGAGTATGTCACAATGTGCCCAAGGGCAGCAATAATAACCTTTACATTACATGAATCAATCCCATTGTATGAGACAAGTCATGCTAATACATCTCTATCACTATAGCCCAATAGTATAAACACATAATTTATTCTGGCCTAATAAACACAAGTGCTTCACAAGAATTATGGCAACTGTAAGGGTAACATATGCATACGATGCCCTGTGAAAAAGCACAGAGTGGTCGGGTTACAGTGGGACACAGACACTTAAGAAATGACAGTAAAGAAAAGCATGGTCTCAAGCTGTCTGCAGATCTGCTCTGCCCAGAGAAATTAAAGTTCGATTATTCATTGGGGCGCGCTCTTTAGACGTGTACATAGCTCAGACTAAGGCTGAGGGGAGGCGGGACATCACACTCACATGCCTCCAATAAGTGATATGCTGCATTGGATGGGGATTACATTAAAACAACATTAAATGGTTGATGCTTTGGAGTCTTGACTCAGTGTAAAGCGCTTTGGGTGACCTTGGTTTGGAATAATGCGTTATATAAATAAAGCTTTCTTACTTACTTACTTAGTACAGTAGTCTATGTAGTAAGAGATGAAGTGAGAAAGCGGTTCATGATGGGACTGTTTGTATGTTGACTTTAATGCCACAAACTGATTATTAATTTCTGATCTTCTTTGTAACTTCTCTTAAAATGATTGTTTATTATTGTATTAAACAAATTTCATTATTATATTAATTATTAAACTGTACAAAAACAGCGTTTGCCCTCATAATGACCAGATAGATTCCAACAAACTCAAATTTCGATGTACCTTCAGTTTAATGACACAGATACTATATGCTTCCTGCTGCCTGGGGAGCTGCAGAAACCCCCATGAAACCCCCATGAGCGCCGCCCCCCCCAGACTATCTCTCATTTAACAGTTTATCAAAGTCACAGGCTTCTGCCATGCTTGTGTGAACTGTAGATTTTTCTATTTTATGAACCTATTAATTTCTTGTGGATCATTAGCCTCCACAGATCCCTCTTCTGACAAATGCAGCTGTTAAATTATACACACAATGTGGTTCATGTGGTTGTGAGTGCAGTGACACTGAAGGCATCGCAAGATAAACATGGAGTGCCCCATCGCTGCTCTGCTTGGCCTGTCGCTGCATCTCAGACGAATGGCACATGAGACCCACGCGGGGCCTCTCCCTGGGACTGTCGAGGCGTTTCAGGAGGACATCATTAAACAGACCACATAATGACAGATTAAGTGCATCTTCAACCATTTTATTTGAATAT